ACTGAGTACACCACCACCTGGACCACTACAAACCCAGATGGATCTGTTGAGACAGACTCTGGTATTGTTTCACAAAGCGGTGATTCGTTGACCACCATCACCACCTTTGGACTGGAAAGTGTTGCTAGTGTTCCGACATCCGCAGTTGTATCCCAGTTTGGTCCACACGGATGGAATGCCAGTTCCGGAAACAGTTCTCCTGATGTTACCTCTTCTTTTGTTGGTGGACCAGGACCCGTGGAGACTTCAAGTTCTGGTACCACTATATTGTCCCTGGAAATTATAGGAGTGTCACCGACAAAGACAAAGACTTCGGTTTCTGCCGTGGACACTCTGGCTCCTACTGTTTCAAAGAGTGCGACAAATGGAGTTCAAAGTTCCGTATCAAATACGGTTGGGGGTACAGGAGCAGATAGCTCCGAAGGCCCAAAGGTTACAGCAGCTGTTGGTGAACTGACGGATAGCTGGGAGCCGATCACATTAGCTTCATCTAGTGCGTCCGCTGGATCTACAACTACTTTAGGAGTTAGTCAAAGCAGCAGCCAAACTAATAGCATGTCTACTTTGACACAACAAACTAGTGGCTTGTCCCCTTCATCTGTTTCCATCTCGACTTACGAGGGTGCTGGTTCAGTTGTGAAAATTTCATGGATCCTCAGTGCTTTAGCTGCAATGGTTTCCGTTCTTTTCTAGGTCATTTTAACGTGACCAACGTGTTGTTTATTTTCTTCAAGTTTCTTCTTAGTTTTACGACTTCTTTTCCATGCAGTCTATCAAGTAAATTAACATGCTGTGACGTTGCATGTCGTTTTAATTTTATTTCGGTTTATATATTGTGTTTATTTTGTTTCGGTTTATATATTGTGTTTATTTTAATTACTTTGATTTTGTTAAAAAGAATGTATGTTGTAGAATTTACATTATTACAGTGACAGACAGGGTCATTGTTAACACTCGATCTCATGAAGAGGATGCTTAAGGGAAGCTTCCTGTGCAGAGCTAAGGCAAACTGCTATAGCTATTTCTGTACTCAATAACTTCACTATTCTATATAGGATATGGAGTTTTTGGTGTCACCAGTGCCAAATTTTTCTCCAAGAAACCCCAATTTTATCCAATCTTCTTTGCAATTCTTGTACACCGTTGGAGCCGACTTGTATCGATTCATCAAGTTGCAAATTGCATCGTAACTAGTTGCAGAAAAGAACCGATCAATAAATTCACGACCAAACCTCGCTTTGGCAACTTCGCATTCATGCATGATCCATTGAAGTATGTTTTGACTCGATTTTCTATCAAATGGACAAACAGTTAGAGGTAAATGAACATCAAAGTCTTTTGCTTTTGATAGTTTGATCTTCAAGATTAGTTCAAACTTAATTGAGTAAAATTTTCCAGATGCGGTGAAACTTTGGAGGTGGGTTATGGGTAGACCCTCGGGGATTCGGTCAACTATTTTGTGAGTTGCAATGTTTGTCGATTCAATGACTGTAGTTTCGTTGTCTTGTGCAACTTCATTTTCAATAATGTATACCTCTGGGTCATAGTAGACTTCCAAGTTGTCGTTGTGCTGTGGGAACTTGATACCAAGTTTTTCAACCACTCCCTGAGTGTTGAGTTCTTTGTTCATCTGCAATGTTGTGGTATAAAGTTTATTTTCCTTCTTTGGAGGTAAACCTCCATCATAGCACTCTAAATTTTCCTTCAATTGAAAGGTGATTTGTTTGACAGCTAGATGTTTCTTGACCTTGTTGTTTGCTGAGTTTGCCAGCAATTTACAATGCAATTCAAGGCGATCACCAGGACCGACAGAAGTAGTGGGCATAGTAACCTGAGCCAAGACTTGATTGTCTGCAGATTTGCTCTGCTCCACAAGAGGCTCATTGTATTGCCGATATAACGGTAATGTGTCGTATGTTTTGATAACAACTGGGAAAGTGTCGATATAGGATGACTCAACACCACTGCTCTCCCCTGTCACCACCTTGACAGCGAGATAGTGTATAGTCGACACCCCTAAAGTAGACAGGTAGCCACTGGGTATCACATCTTTGGGAACTGGTATCATGACGGGCAAATCCACCCCTAGTACATTTTGTGAGAATCCATTTACTGGTCTGAATGCCATTGGATCTTCAAAGATTTTAAACTCTTTGAAAGCTTCAGTACTTCCGAGTTTTGCAGGTACAGTCACTTTCTGTCGAGTTATTAGCACTATTGAAACTGATCTTATTAGAAACGGAGAGCCATTGGCTGTCCTAATGTGAATAATCGATTCGATTCTAGGTATGCTTCGAGGAATTCCCGCACAACCAAACACAATAGTTGAAGCTGTGGGTTCTAGAAAGATAGTGAGTGGATATTCCTGCTTCTGTGAGCCAGTTGATGAGTTCTGAAACCGCATTTAGCAGCGATGGTGATGAAATGGGGACGGATGATGTTGTAAGACAAAATAAACGGAAATGCCACAAATATTTGAAGCGCGTTCTTCAACTTCGCTTTGGTTTCCCTCACCTCCCCCCCCAATCTGCCCCCGCCATATCTCATACAAATATGAAACATTTACTACTGAACTTACTTAACTCACCAAACTACAAAATTCCTGGAAATATGGCCCACTTCAAACTAAAGTCCTCCTTATACTTTACTTGGTAATAGCGGTACGTTTCCACAGCAGACACTGACAAATTGGTAACCACAAAAACCCAAGCAGATGCAAACATCAACGAGGTCAAGCCCAAGCCATTTTTAGCACCAAATATCGCAATGACTGTATAGATGATGACTTCATACAGGTAGTGCGGAGATGCCACCACTTTGAATTTAGGTAATGAGTACTTCACCAAATGGGCAAGATGAGAGTGGGCTAAAAACTGTTGTACCGAAGCAACTCCAAAGACAGCAACAAGAAAGTAATCCACAATGGTTAATGCGGCGCTTCCGGCGCAATTCCCCGATAAGCCCAAGTATGTTGCCAATGCAATTAACACGTAATGAGACATTCCGACAGCGTAGTGAGCAAAGTTCATGTATGATACAGGCGAAAACTTTGTCACGACGAAACTCTCAACCATTCTTCTTGCACCTTGAATAACGAGTAGTTTGTTGATGATGGCCAAATTCTTGTATGTGGCGGAAGAAGTTTCATTAGAGTGACCAATGATAGCTTCATGGCATGCCTTGAAATAGGTTGCAGTGGATAGAGTGAATAAGCAAATGTAGAAATGAGTAAACCACAGCTTGCGTACTACTGCATGTTTGGCTATAATGTCAATCACTTCTGAAGGCGTGTCGCTGCCATTAGAATTGGAGTCTGGTGCTGTTTTACCGTAGTTCAATAACCTTTTCAACGATGGAACATATTTGACAGCCAAGACACCCGATGTTAAAGCAAAATAAGTTAGCGAAACAAGTAATTGTGGGTTGTAAGTAGTAGCAATATTCATATATGTATGTGTTAAGATGTGAGGTAGAAAATGTATTATAAAGTTATGGCGAAATACATACAAAAAAATATAAAAGTGGTAGAATTCACCCGCCAGTACTTACACCAACCCAGAAACAAGTGAAATCTTCATCGGTACCGTGCACCTCCCCCCATGTCTTATCCACCCGAATATGCTCCCACAGCATCAACCTCATTCACAATCTCCTCCAAATCAACCAAGTTTAACCAAGAGTTAACTCGTTCATCATTGGTCAAATCACAAATAAGCAAGGCTGTATACAATTCATTAGCTGAGATAAGCTCAATCCTAGTTTCAATTGAAGTATTGGAGAATTCATTTTTGAAAGATTACATTACTGAGAAGGAAAGGTACACGTCGACTGCGTATAGACTAATATATCAATATCAAATAATACTAAAAGGGTTTGATGAGTCAAAACTACCCGTGCTACGAGAACTCATGCCGGACTTATCTCCCGACTTGTCGAATTTCTTAGCCCTTTTCACTTCCAAGTTCAATTTAAACTGTCCACAAGCTGCGAATAGACTAATAAGTGGAGTTCCATCGACAGTTGATCACGCTAGTGATGCAACGACAACAGTATTTGGAGGTGGAGGAAGTTCTAGTGCCACAAGTAGGGCTAACGCTAGATTGATTGCTGAGATTACTGGCAATTTTATCACTTGTATGGATGCAGTCAAGCTCAACTACAAAACTAGAGACCAACTACATCCATTATTGAGTGACTTGGTGGTCAACCTCAATGAGTTCAACGAGAGCATAGAGTTTAACGGCAAATCAAAATTGATAAACTGGTTAATCAAAATTAATAATTTGGAAAAAGAGCTATCGCAAGAGGAGTCAGATACGTTTTTGAATGACTTGGACACTGCTTACAAAGGGTTCTATATTTCTCTAGAAAATCATTAAAAAATAAAATAAAGGAGGGGGCGGGGGGAGAGCTAATCACATTTATCTCACTTCTCTATGTTCTCTATACGATTGATTCGATTTGTTCGGCATAACCCAACACATTTTTGATGATTGATTCATTATCAACAGATTCTTCATGTTCAACTCTAGCGAAATAAATCACACCTTTGTCGAATTTCCAATTAGTCAAATCCAAAGATTCCTTCAATGTTTGCTCAAATGTTGCGTCACTCAATTCCTGGGGTAAGTACAAGAGACTTTTGCAATTGGAAATTGGGATAGAATCATATGTCTTTTCCAAACTTTTGGCAATTTCAAATCTCAAAGCATTGGTCAAAGTGTCAGCAAAATGGGCAAATTCTTTACATGGCAAGTTTTTCTCTTCTTTCAACAAATTCCAAATCTTGATATAGTTTCCCTCCATCAAGTTTCTTTCCAATTCAATGGGGAATTTCAAAAACTTGTCGTTTTCAACATCGTATTGCCTTGAGTTGTAAATCATCTCCAACTCCACATTGAACTTGGAGATGGATCCTTGACTTAAAAGGTACAACAAAAACAATGAAATGATTTTGGTGCTATCGGTATTGACATGGGGTTTGTTCAAGTTGTGAATTTTGCCATTTGTGTAAAATGGTTTCAATTGGGCGAAATAGCTTTCAAATCCAGCGTAGTTGTTTGTAAGTAACGAGGATAATGCACCTATTTCCAATATTCTTTGAGCTATTTTAAGATCATTGATTTGGTCTTGAGTTTCAGTATTGGTAGTCAAAGGCACCAACAAGTTGTGTTTGATCAACTCAATTTTGATGGGAGCTAGAAGCTGTTGACATTTTTGATAGTCCTGTTTGTCGTAGACGCTGTATATTTCAGCAGTGAGCTTTTGGAGTGACATCTCGTGAAGTAGTGTGTGTGTGTGTGTTTGAATGTGGAAAGCTCTGATATTGCCACTCAAAAATTGTTTGTCTAAATTTTGTTGAAGAGCAGTGTCGTGTTGTAGAGGAAAAATATACGACAACCGAGTGACAAAAGGAGAGAAAAAATTTATGAGAGAATGCTCATCACCATAGATCTAGCTTTAATAACCACAAGGAAAGATTGCTTGTCTCCACACACCATTAACCAGCAAACAGCATTGTTATACTATTTGCGCAAACATGAAGTTCTTAACAACCAACTTTGTACAGTGTGCCGTTAAGAGTTGTCAATCATCAACTGATTCGTTTCCATTGAAATATGAAGAATGTCAATTAGTACAGGAAGAACAAGAGTTCAAACCCGAGTTCATAGTACACATGTTGGATAAGCTTGACTGGAATGCTGTAATATCAGTAGCTAAAGATTTGGGAAATGATTCACTTCCGCAAACTAAACCAGAGGGTTTGGATCCAATTATGGAAGATGATCAAGTTGTTTTAAGGGATCTACATACCTTATTGGTTGAAACTCAGTTGATTGAAGGTAAGATGATTTGCAATCACTGTCATCATATCTATTACATTAAGAATTCGATACCAAACTTTCTTTTACCACCACATCTCGCGAATTGAGAAAGAGTTGAGACTAGGAGGTTCCACGAGGGGGAGACAAGAACGAAGGGACAAATCATGTTGATATTTCAATGCAATGTTGTGGTGCAGCTATTTAGCTTGTATATCGGGAGACGACTACCTTTGAAACTTGAGAAGTTGGATCATTGAGTTTACGTAGTACTGGTTCAAACGTCGTATAGTATTGTTGAGAAGACCTGCAGAAAGGTACTGAATAGATGAAATATACCGTGCTGTAAAGTCCTTGTAGAGCAGAAGCTGCAACCATATTTGTAGGCACGGTGTTGTGAGATGATACGCAAGCACTACTCATAGCCGTTCTCATGTCGTATAAAATTTTACGACATTACCTTTCTTTTTGCGACAGGAGATCATTTTCATTTTTTTTCATTTTTTTTTTCTTTCTTTTGTTTGCTTTTTTCTTGTTTATCTTTTTTTTTTTTTATTTTAATATATATATATATATCTTTTTTTTTGTGCTCATGTGGGGGTACAAGTACACGACCTGCGCTGGGGTCTAACACTCCTTTCAATCTTTCCAAAGTTAGCATGGAGAGTTACTAAGTGAATGCAGAATACACCTGCAACGGTGCAGCAAGGAAATTGACCACACTTTTCCATCTCCATTTATATAAAGTGTGTACTTGGGATTAGGTTTTTTGTATGCAGTCCATTCGCCTCATTATTTCTGTTGGTGAATTTGCTGATTGTTCGTTTCTTTCTTTTTTTTTTTTTTTGTTTCTCGGATATTACTACAGTTGTTGTTGTTGTTGTTAATGTTACTAATTTCATTTTGATCGAAAAAGGAGAAAAGAGGGAGGGACATACGAAGGTAGATTATATTCCACACTTGGGACATTAGACTCTACTACTATTGCAGATCTATCTAGAATAGAATTGCATTTAAAGCATTTATTTCCTCCTGTCATTCTTTATACACCCAAGCATTGATTTTGGAAGTGCTTGCAAAAACTCATAGGCTATGGTTAACTTGAGCCTATTTCAGAATAACTTCACCACCACCTCCACCACTAACAACATCAACAACGATGACAAGTCAGATACCTTCACATCAAGTCATAGCACTGCTAATAGTCGCAGCAATAATAGCAGCCCACCACACGGCACTAACCTGTCTTTAACTCTGAGCCTGGAAACCCGCTCAAACAGCAATAGTCCAGAAATGCGTCCACAGTCACGTCTGCGAAACAGGTCGATATCTATATCTCGATTTTTATTCAACAGAGACCATGATGCATCCAACACTGCCACTACCAACGGGACTGGCAACACATCAGATAATAGTTCTTCAAAATCAACGGCATCTGGTGCTCACTCAGATCATGGACACAACAGCAATGGCCAAAATGGAGGGATGAACAAGTTGAAAAACATCTTTCGTTTCCCTTCGACATCTGTGTCCTCATCAGACTCTAAAACACAGGCTCAAAGACAGAGGTCCATGTCCTCTCCATTTCGACTGAGCGCTAAGGACCTTGCTAAGAATCACAAAAAATCATCAAGCATTGTCAGCAACAATTTACCTACGCCTCTGCCTCCTAAACTACCGGAGATTATTACTGATGCACCACCGCCAGAGTCTCATGACTTGGGAGAAGGAATAAGTCCCGTGATTAACTCAAATCCCTACTTTCAACACCAGGGCCTTCCTCCACATTTAACATACGCCCAGCCCCAACTACAACAACAAACAAATTTGTTAACAGCAAACAAGTCCGAACTATCTGTATCCTTGAGGCATAACGACTCTGTATATTCATTGACAGAGCATGGCGTGTTGCAACCACCACCAAAGATTCATTACAGCCAATCGTCATTTTCAGGTGACGAGGACTCGGAGGAGGATGATATAACCAACACCAAGAGTGGATCAGACCAATCGGCATATCTCGAACCACCAAGGTTGGATGGTGCTCCAATGCGCGTGGAAGGAGAAGAGGAACAAGCTGTGGTCACACCTCCGCCATCACCATTTCAAAAAGCTCTTCGACGTGTGGCTTCAGCACCCCTTGTGCATAAATTGATGAATGACAAATCGACAGCAGATGTGACGTCCCCGTCATCTCCATCACTTGTGAACAAACAAGAACCATTTGATTTGAGTAAACATATTGGGGAAGTTACAATTACGGGACGTCCGCGTACATTAACACGAGAGCGCACTTATTCACACGCGGCCACTCGTGTTGTTGATGTTCAGGTTGGGCCGGGAAGCTTTGAAAAGATTAGACTTTTGGGCAAGGGTGATGTGGGTAAAGTGTACCTTGTTCGGGATTTACAATCAAATAGACTATACGCAATGAAGATTCTTAGCAAAAAGGAGATGATTGAACGAAACAAGATTAAACGTGCCTTGGTTGAGCAGGAGATTTTGGCAACTTCAAACCACCCATTTATTGTCACATTATATCACTCATTCCAATCAAAAAATTATCTTTATCTATGCATGGAGTATTGTATGGGTGGTGAGTTTTTCCGTGCATTACAAACTAGAGAATCAAAGACGATTTCAGAAAACGATGCCAAGTTTTATGCAGCTGAAGTAACTGCCGCATTGGAGTACTTGCATTTGATGGGGTTCATCTATCGTGATTTGAAACCTGAAAATATCTTGTTGCACCAATCGGGACATATTATGTTGAGTGATTTCGATTTGTCCAAGAGAAGTGAGCATGCCAAAAACCCCGAAATTGCGTTCAGCAAGAGTGGATTGTCGCTATCTTCGCCTGGTGCGTATTCGCCACACCATGGTCCGACATTAGACACCAAGGCTTGCATTGATGGGTTTCGGACAAATTCGTTTGTCGGCACCGAGGAGTACATTGCTCCTGAAGTTATACGAGGCAAGGGTCATACCAGTGCTGTTGATTGGTGGACGTTGGGAATATTTATTTATGAAATGTTGTATGGAACAACTCCATTCAAGGGATATGATCGTAAAAAAACATTTGCCAATGTGCTCAAGAGAGATGTTCGATTTGATCTTGTCCCCACACAACAATCAGTTTCTTCAAATTGTAAGAATTTGATCAAGAAATTGTTGATAAAGGAGGAAGATAAACGATTGGGGTCGAAGACTGGTGCTTCTGAGATCAAGAATCATGTATTTTTCAAAAACACTCAGTGGGCTTTGTTGCGACATCAGAAACCACCGATGATTCCCGTATTGACTAAATCAAAGAAACATCGTGATAACAAAGATGCAGGAGAAGCAAATGGGGTCGTCAATGGTCACACAGGAGCAGCAGCAGGAGCAGATACATCTGATGCAAATGCAGACGTCTACTCTGTCCCCGAGGATGATCCTAATGATCCATTTGCCAACTTCAATTCTGTCACATTGAGATACAGCGATGGTGACGAATTAGTTGGATTAGGTGAGGACACCACAGCAGCAGCAGCAGCAGCAGCAACAGGAGCAGAAACAACACAAGGAGAAGGAGGCTGTAGAGGAGGCGGTGGCGGTGGCGATGGCGGTGGCGATGGCGGTTTTGGTAATGGAATGACTCTTGACTCGTCAGTTGTTTACAACCCTGAAAAGACTACGGCATACACCAGTGTCGCTTATACCATGACTTCAACTGAGCCAATCACGCCAAAAAAGGGGTTTTTGAGAAGATGAGAGGGTACACAAGCTCTATCGTGGTAAACATTATGACAAAGAGACTTGCTGAGCTTTGAAGAGTTCTGTTTTGTTGTTTTTCTTCTGGATTTTATTACGTAGATACACGCCGTTACAAAAATCTATACCAAAATAAAACGTTGCGTTTGCAGAAAGTTGTGAGTCTGTGTAGTTGTGCGAGTAAAACTTGAGAAGCTCAAAGATGACAACAAATTGAGGCTATGTTTGGCTTGCAATGTCTTCTATCGGCTGTGCAGTTTGCATCCCTTTTGTTTATGCTGGTTGTTCCCTTCTTTGTTCTTGTTTTTGCTCTTGCTGTTTAGTTATTTTTTTTTGTCTGTTTTTATTGCCAATTTGTCGAAAAAGGGAAAGTGTTCCTGAAATTTTTTAAAACAATAGAAGAGAGCAACAACAATCGAAAAGGGGAGACAAAGAGTGAAACCTATACTCAGTTTGGTCAATTTCCAAATACCTCGTATGTATCAAATACTCTGCTTCACTCAGCACAACTGTTTCCTATTTTCCCTTCATATTAAAAGCCCTTTGCATTTAGTTTGGATTGCGTTTTGTGTCGTCGATGCAACACTTCGTTGAAACTTCGCCACAAAAAAAGAAAAAAAAATAATAAAAACTCAATTCAAAATCGGAAATTTAAGGAACAGACAAAAAGTTGAATTTCCTGCATGTAGCATAGTGTTCACCAAAGCCGCACAATATTTCCTCAAATAGGATAACAAATAACAAATTATAAATCATTACAAGAGAAGTACCCTTTCAATATTGAGACTTTTGTATATATTATTCTCGTTATACAAAACCAAACTCTATGCAAAGATAAAAAAACCGAAGAATGACGATGTGAAAAAAGGCAGATTGTATAGCTAAAAGCAAATCAACCAAATTGAATTTTGACCAGCAATGTCAATATTCCTGTGAAGAAACCCAACCGATAAAATAAAAATAAACAAAAAAAAAAAAAGTAAGAATGATTTTTAGCCCTCTAAACCCATTTCATAATAGCTCTGTGTATGTTGTTGTTGTTGTTGTTATAGTAGTAGTAGTAGTAGTAGCTGATAAGCTCTTTAACAGTCAACAAAGTCGATAATCTTCAACTTGACAGCGTTACATTGAGCAGCAACATTTTCATCATACAAGTTGTAGAAGTCACCACTCAAACATTGGTAAAACACCTTTGAATCGCCCAAAGTCAAGTAGCCATCGCTGGAAATAGACCATCCGGCAGCATAGATAGAGCCGGCTTGTGGTGGTGGACCATCGAATTGGAATTGTCTGTTGGCAACAATAGCACCGATTCTACCGTGTGAGTCGGTCAAGACACCATCTTGCAATTTAATAACCAAGTTGTTTGATGATGAGCATGCTTTTGGAATTGAGGAGTCAGAAGAGGAGTCGGATGTGGCACCTGATTCTTGTGGTTGACCATCAGAAAGGGTAGTGGCAGCGGCAGCTCTTGATTCAGCAGCAACGGTGGAGTTCTTGTGTTGAATTTGACCATCAGAAATTTGAGCAGCAGCAGAAGCAGTTGGTTTAGCAGAAGTTTGGTGTTGAATTTGACCGTCGCCGATTTGGTTGACAACTGAAGCAGCAGAAGTTTGGTGTTGGATTTGACCATCGCCAATTTGGTTGACAACTGAGGCAGCCGTGGTTTGATGTTGGATTTGACCATCACCAATTTGGTTGACAACTGAGGCAGCAGCTGCAGTGGTTTGGTGTTGGATTTGGCCGTCACCAATTTGGTTGACAACTGAAGCAGCAGCAGTGGTTTGGTGTTGGATTTGGCCATCAGTGATTTGATTCACGACAGAAGCAGCAGCGGCAGTGGTTTGGTGTTGGATTTGACCATCAGTGATTTGAGCAACTGGAGCAACAGATGATTTTGAGGTTGGCAAAACGGAATATGAACCAGACCTAACATTTGGCTGGCCATCCGACAACGCACTTACAACAGCCCTTTTACCAAGTGTCGCGGAAGCAGTTTCCAATTTGCTGCTAAGGTCAGATGCTGAATCAGTAGACAATGCAGATGCTGCTTCAACGGTTTCAATTTGGATACCAAAACTCGAGCTGTAGTCAGTGGTGGCATCCGATGGGATTGATGCGGTTGGGGTCAAAGTGGTCCATGGCGCCGATGGGACTGTAGCCGCCAATGCTGTGGTTAAAAATGCAGCAGATGTAGCGATTGTTGTGTACTTCATGTTATAATTTTGTGTGTATGTGTGTGATGTATTACTACTGCCAAGTAAAATTGTATGTAAGGGTTGAGATTTTGTTTGACTTGACAGGTGGAAATTATTTTCTTGGATAAGGAAAAGGAAAAGGAAGATGTAGTAGTGGTTGGAAAAAGGATGGGAATTTCAATGCCCTTTTATATTCGAAATTTAAAAGATAATTGCTATATAGACCATTCATATTCGTTAGTTTGTTGGTTATTTTAACTGCGGTATATGGTTTAAAACCAATATTATTGCATCATCAATCTATTGTCTGTATTGTGTACAGTAATAGCTTAGTGATTTAGACAGGAATATAAACATTACACAATATGCACAGCTGCTTATTATATAACACACCGACCCACGCACTCACACAATACTTTGTAGTCTTTTTTTGTTTGTTTTTCTAAATTTTTTAAATTTACTCTGCACTGAATTGAGGGAGGATAAAGGTAGTAAGTACACAGTAGCAGCAGTTTTATTGCTCTCTTCCAATATTTCAATTGAACTCCAATCAAACATCTTCTTTTCTCTACAACATTTACATAAATGTAGAAGAAGCAATGACATGGGTTAACCGAAGTGTGAGTCGACAATGGCAAAGGAATTGTCTTGCGAGAGAATTAATCTGCTTGCTACTTGTTTTGTTTACATTTTCCTAATCCATGACGATATATAGTTGAGAAACAAGTGGGTTTGTACTTTTCAGTAGTAAAGTGTGTGCATTGTTAATAGTGTACAACAGAGAGTGAGTAGTTTGTTTGTTTTCAATTTAGCCTGAAAGAATCAAAAAATTTACCAGCAGGGAAAGAGTTAGAGTAGAGTAAAGTAGAGTTATACAAACAAACAAAGTATACACACACAGCAAAGCAAAGGGTGTAAAAACAACAAAGGAGAATTTTTAACTGTGTGCAGAAAGAACCAAACACTAAACAAAAAGCATAGCCCCTCACTTTGCAGTTTTCATTTGTCATCTGTTCTCTTCCCCTTCCTTCTTCCCTCCTCTTCTCCTTGAAAGGGATCTAGAGATATCACGTCATGCATTGTGATCGATGCTGGCTGCTGGCTTGTTTGCTGTATTTCCTCCTTATTTACAATTTTGTGAATGACTTCAATTGATCGGTGCTGGCTGTTTTTGTTTCTGTTGTTGTTATTGATGATGATCTGTGCTGGCTGTTTGAATCAGCCACAAAATTGAAGAAAAAAAAAACAAAGAACTACCAACAGAGAAAACAGAAAAAAAATAAACGTTAACTATGGTTAGTAGTAGTGTACCTTACAAATTCCTTTTATTTTTTTTTTTTTTTTTGCTCATGCAAGTCATTAATAAACCCGAAAGGGGGAGCTAATGAAGGTTTATGGTGGAGGAAGCTAACAGAAGGACGGGTCGGAGTAGAAAATACTGTAATCTTGTGAATAGAAGAGAGGAACGGTACACATGCTTTTGCCGGGGTGTAGCAACAGCTGTGGTAGTGCTGCCAGTGTACCAATTGCTCTTGTTGCTGACATCTATTTCCTGATTGGTCATTGCACTGTGGATCTTCGATCTTACTAAATTTCTATTTCTTTGATTTTCGTCTCTCCTTGCAATTAAAAAACAACACTCCTTCTAAACGATTACTAGAATGGCCTTATCAATCCTCGAGAGAAAAGACAGTTGCTACTGGTATGCTCAAAGTGTGTGCGTGTGTGTGTGTCGTTTAAAAATAGAAATTTAGATTTGTTTACATTTTTAACTTTTATTTTATTTTATTTTGCATTTTTTATTTTTATTTTTTTTTGTTCTGCCAGCCACTCCGCATTTTTTTTTATCCAATTTCACCCGCTTTTATACACTACTTACACTACCCACTTTTTGTTATCATCTTTTATGATGTCATATACTTCGTAGTGTCATCATTCGTTCTTTTACAGCAATCCACTCTAAACTCTATCGCAGTCCCCTTCGATTCCCAGATAACTAACAGCCACCACTTCCTCCAACTTCCATTCCCCGTTGTGTCCCAACTAGGCAAAGAACGGAAAGGCTAACCCCTGTTTTACTTGGAATGAGCAGAACACCAAAAACACCCTCGAAGTTAACCGGAATCAACGGATAAGAAAAAATAACCGAAATCCTTCCAATTGAAATTTGAGAATCCACAACGTGATTTCTAATTGCGTGCATTCGTATACATCTTTCTTCTTCCTTAATCACTGCTATCGAATATTCCCGGTGTACACAAAAACCACACAAGCAACTACATCAACGCCGATATAGGTGAGTGAGTTTCAATTTACTTTAATTATTCAAGCCTTGTGTTTTTTCTTTCCTTTTTGAATCCGTCATTCAGAGTTGATTACTGCGAAAGTTCATCCTCACAGTGGGCGTTCCCGTTTCATTTCGCCGCGAGTTTTCGATATCACGGAGATACATAAAACTCGGCCCGCTTTTAAGCTGCTTCTTGTAAGCCACAGTGGTTGTGTGAAATTTCTGTTAACCACAAAAAACCTTAGCTCCCGATGTAATACCAGCCTTGGTCCCACTTTGTAAATATCTTGGTCATGCCGGGGAGGATAAGTGATGATCTTGTGTTGAAATATTCTACTAAGCCTTTTTTTTTTTTCGAAGCAGCTAAATGTGTGGTTTACTTCTATATACAAGCTCTTGTTGCTTGATATCACTCATATCGTGTGGACAGTGCGGTCAAAGTTTGCACCGACACCTCTCTGTATACATCTTTCTCGCCTTTCTTGCCGCCATTTCGGACTTCAACTCAACCACGAGCCAAATATAGAGATCACTGTCTAGCTTTGCATCACAAGCGGACTGGTGGGAGTGTATAACCAAGAGCCAATTTTTTCTTTTGTATAAATCAATGTGGTAGAGAAGTAGAGAGATCCCTGCAAATAACCTCAAAAAATACAAATTGAACCTTGCACTTTATATACTGTACACATAAACACCGTCTATACTTTTTCACCACGGTCAATTCAATAGCAGAGAAAATTCAGCACATCCTTCCCATCGTATCAGAAGTTTAATCCATCGCCAGTGAACAAATGCACCATTCTCCATTTCTTTCCGTCCTCCTCACCTTCTCATAACATTTTCCCTGTCCTTCCACCTAATGGTGTTCGAATGGCAACTTGACTCCAAACATAACCGGTCCATCCTCCTTGATTCTGTAGAATATCCAAAACCACATAGTGGCACCCATTAGCTTGGCACCCCAGTATATATGTGGAGCAACATGTGGAGCTGCAACCGGTGCGTGACGTATATATTTAGCTAAATGTCCAGCAGCCATCGTGTTTAGATATGTGTGTGTATGTGATGATAATGCTTGAACTATATAAGGGCTCTTCGATTTGTTTTCTTTTTTTTCTTTTTTGGTTGTTGTTTGATTGGCTCAAAAGTCGTGTGCAGAAGTCAACATAATAGTCACGTGGTTTTGCAGGTTAAATACCGTAGACTCAAAGGGTTCTTGAACTTTGCGGTGTTACACTGGCGAGTTACATACTGTTACAAAATGTGTATTATTACAATTCCCTAAGGTAGTCTAGATTTTATAGTTTGTGCTGGTGATTGTTGTATGTCCGATGCCTCCATGTGCTCATTTTGCACACTTCCATCAACAACTAATGGATTGTGTGTATATGCAGCTTGCGCGAAAGTAGCATTCTGAGATGGAACTGACGGGTAAGTTTGATAGTGGTGAGACGACTGGCCCAAAGCATCTTGATGACTTAGGTTTGCCGGTTGAATTTGAGGTGTCACCAAGGTGGTTAAACCTGGCTGATAATATTGTGGTTGCAAATGTTGTTGCAGATATTGATGTAACTGTACATACTGTTGCGGTTCAAGCTGCTGCTGTGGTAGATTCTGTTGTTTTAGTTGTTGATGCTGTTGCTGTTTTAGATGGTGTTCTTCCCGATTTTGCAGCAATACAGGCTGAAAGTATTGTCGTAGAGTATTTGAATTTGACGATATCCCCAACGCCCGCACTATCTCCGAGCTCGCACAGTGAAGACCCAGACCCAACTCTAGAGCCCGTTTATGATCCCGTTCATGTAATCGATAGTGTCTCGTCATGTTTGACTTGACACTAAACAGTTTTCCACATCCGTGCCACGGACACGTGAAAATCTTTTCACCCGTATGTGAATAAAGATGCGTTTGTAGTGATGAAGGACGCTTAAACTGCTTGTTGCATATTTGACACCGATTGCGGAAGGCGGTTGCTGGGGTCATTTCACGCAGGACAGACAGATTCTTGGGCTGTGGCTTTCTGGTTTCGGATGGTGCTCGTGGTGGGTGTGGTAGTACTATTGGAGTCGTTGATGTTGTTGACGAGGATGGCGACAATCCTGACGCGTAGCCATTGTCTGATGTTGACTCCAACGATGACGCACCGAGTTGTGGTGGTAGGAGCGACGGTTGGTATCCATCCCGACCTATCGCCTGAGAAGAATGGGGCATATTTGTTCCATGTAGCAGGGAGGAGGACAATACATGTGAGGTTGTTGATGATGATGTTGATGATGATGTTGTTGTTGTTGTTGCTGTTGTTGTTGACCCCATTGTTGGTACTTCTGATGGTTGTAGCGCCGTTGCGCCGAATTGAGATGAATAACCTGGTCTGAAAAGTGGAATCGAAGAGTCTCTCTTTGCATCTTGCATGCCCAAGCGTTGGTGGGGAGAGCTCCAAGACACATTCAGTGCAATAACTTGAGTATGAGAGGCAGCACCTTTTACATCTTGAGCATGTACATTCGATTCTATACCGTTGGTATACAAATCAGGTGTTTGAGTGAATGACTGAGTCTGCAAATGGTAACTTTGATTCGATAGTACAAGTCGGTGTTGCTGCTGTTGTTGCTGCTGCTGCTGCTGCTGCTGCTGTTGCTGTTGCTGTTGCTGTTGCTGTTGAGGAGTGAAGAAAGTATGTGATGGGAACTGTGAAGCCTCGTAAGGTTGAAATAAATTTACCCCCACTTGATTCAACTGCAATTGTTGAGATTGCAGGTTGGTGCCAAATTGATATGAGAAATCCTGATTAGGAATAGAGTAATTTGCTTGAGTTTGCATTGGTATGGAGCTATTCAGTGAAGCTAATTCTGGTTTGAAGTTTTGTGAATTGAAAGATGAAGGATCTGATGTGAAGTTTTTGTTGTTGGAAAATCGGCCAGGAGGGTCACTTGAATTATTCTGACCTCTACTATCTGTCATCTTCTTGCTTCAAGATTGGCCAAGTCTTGAATTATCCGCGACAATAAGTCACCAACCTTTGCTGAACTTAGTTGAAGTAAGGGGGCTTTTTTTTTTTCAAAAAAAAAAGATAAAGCTGTTCAGTGAGAAGCTGTCTTTGAAGTATCTCTGTACTCAAAAAGAAAAAGAAAGAAAGAGAGAGAGTGTGTGTGTGTATTGGTTGGTGGGGAAGTGGGGTAGTAGTAGTGAGTAGTAGTAGTAGTAGTAGTGGTGGTGGTGGTGGTGGCAGTATTAAGACAAGCTTCACATCTATATATCTATGAATTTATTCAAAAACAAGTGCACAAGATTAAGTGAACTATTTATAAAAGAGAAACTTAGTATAAATTTGGGTTCATTAGGGTAACAGGAACAAAAGTTGAACAAAACAAACTATTAAGAGGGAAATAAAACAATACGAAAAAGAAATTGAGTTTAAACTTAAACAGAGAACAATAGGAAAAAAAAAAATATAAGAGACCCTTGTGAAAAATAGAATAAAAAGAAAATGGAGGTTATGTATGGCATGTACAGCAGAGAGAAATCTGTTCATATAGTAGTATCTCACTTGGAGTAATATATAGCTTCACACAAACAGAAGATACATATCCCAAAGATCAGTGAGGGAATGAGCTTTCAATACTCATAACCATTGAAACAGCTATTTCATCTGAGAAACGCGTATGCACAATTTCCAAAATTTCATGTGCAGATTTCCTATAGAGAGGCAATTGATCCATCTATAACAACAGTATTGGAAAAAGTACAACGAAGGAAACTAAAAAATTCAATTTATGTTATTGACACAAATACACCTCTTTACGTATTTTCTTTTTCTTTTTTCTCTTAGCTCTAGTGTTACCCAAAGCATTACTTTGGTTTCCACATTGTTGGTTTCCACAGTTTACACATCTGATTTTGTTTCGTGAATGCTCTCTACCCTTTTCTGTTAAGCGAGAGGCAACCACTAATGCATAGATAATGAAGTACTACTTTTTATGGTTATCGCTTTTGCACGTGCAACACGATTGCAAACACAGCTGTTAACAATTCTGCACAGAATTTGCCCTACTTCTTGAGATTAATGTCTAGAACCTCAACAAGGTGGTGCCGCATTACACTAATATCACTCTCGCATGTATGAAAAAAGGATACAGTGGAACAGATATACGCAGTGGGTCATGCTTCATGCGCGGAAACAGTAAACGTTTCTATTCCCTGGGTGCTACTTTTGCTGTGGAAATGTAAAGTTGTGACTTCTACACAACTTCTTTGCCGGTACCGGCTCATTTTTGGATCTATATGGACGAGGCAAAAAAAGATTAGAAATGAGTTACACGAACAGTTGCAACACCGTGTTCAGTGTTCATTTGCAGTAAAAAAAGAAACTTCATAGGCTCAGATTGTTTAAGTTGTTGAAAACTGTATCTGGTTTCAGGAGTGAACGTGCTACCTTCATGAGAACATAAATTTAACGTTGGTGGCCTGAGGAAACAGTATATTGACAAAAAAGGTTGTACAAAGCACCATCCGCCTCAAATAACAATAATCCCAAACAAGCCACCTAAATAGCCATACCCGTTAACGATAATCTCGCCGAGAAAACTGCTTTACGTATTCGGCTTTTGTTCAAGTGGATAAATTTACTATGAGCTTTGTGCTACTGAATCTGATCTAAAAATAACGCAGGTCGCGGTAAAAAAGCAAAACGCCTCGCAAACTTACTGGGAAGACGAAACGAAGGCGAGAAAAAAAAAAAAAAAAAACAAAAAGAACTAAAATAAAAGTGAATGACAAAGTGAAGAAAACTAAACAATTGTGCACGACAGTGGATTCTTGAAATCCGCCAAATATGACCGTGTTCCAATGGGAATTCCGTAATAGAAAGAAATAACGATTTCCACACACAATCCTTTGTTTCCATTCTCACATGATTGGAAAGTCAAGAACGCGTTGCAATACAAAAGTAACAACTCCACATTCACAACTGTAACTTTTTACAAACCAGGATTTTCAATGCTCCTGCACATACTTGTCGCCATAAGATTTTTTTTTTTTTTGTTTTCCTTCCTTTAGGTTTTTTTTGCTCCATAATGCACAATTTGCATTGCACAATGAAACCCCCAGATTTAGTTCAGCAATCTTAAAACTGTAGGTTGTTTTACTCACCAAAACACATCATCGTCGAATGATAAAATTGCCCGTTCTGCATGAGTAAAGTAGACTAGCGGGTCTAGTCGTATAAGATTGAGGGTGGGGAGGGGCACTGCTTGACGACCTAGACTCTTTGAGTCTAAATCTGCTTGTACATATATTATATTGTATGAGACTGCATATAGTTAGCCTCTTTGTATATATGTAGGTTTGTGTAAGAGATATCGTGAGCTACTTCATGTGCTGCACAAACACAAAAGAAGGAATATCCACTTATAATACATAATAAAGAAATCGATAGTTGTGTGTGTGTGCTTCTGGATGTGATTAGTCTGGGTCTCATTTTTTTTTTGGTTTTTTTTTTTTGTTGGTTGAAAAAGGTTGTAGGTATCCACAGATACCCAACAAACAGTGCATTTTAGTGAAAGGCGGCGAAACTGAACAGGTTATCCTGTGTCGAATTGAAAATAGTGCTATCACCTTCAGTATTGACAATGCACACGCCAAAACAAGCTTCGAATAACGCAACTTGTGCGTTTTTTTGGCAACATATCTGCTAAACCTTAATCTAAAACCGGCTCTATAGCTCTAATCTCTTCTCTAACTTTGACTGTGTATAATTGAGTATGGTGCGATACTAGCCTCGGTTGCTCTTAAAATATTTAGTGTTTGTGTAACGATCAAACCATAATTTTGAAAAAAAAAAGGGGGGAGGGGGCCAAGAGCACATGAACCTGATATTGAACAACAGCGAAAGTAAGTGCCATGCCATTACTGACCCCCTAAGACTGGATTTTTATCCTTTACTGACATCAAAGAAACCAAAAGAATCCGGTTGGGTGAATCTCAAAACTAACACGACAAAAAAGAAAAAAAAAAAAATAATAATAATAAAAAAAAAGGGGAAGCACCACCCAGTTTAAGTCAAATCAGTTTTCACCTTACCTTATTAACTATCAGCATAATGGCATTTATATCATTCAAATTGTCCTTAATGGAAGCCTACTTGCTTTTCATACGCCACTTTTCAGAACAAAACGTTGGTACTAGGGTTGAGTTTGCATCAATCACTTGGACTTGTGTTTTTTAGTTGAGAATAAAATCATCAACCCCTAAGCAATGGAAAGCAGCAGAGACCAGCAGCTACATCATCAGCAACAACAACAACAGCAGTAAAGGCGCATGGCAGTGTTCCTTTCAATGTCTACTAGTAAGTGCTTGCGTTTGCTTTGCTTCAAAAGTATCACTTTGGGACCGTATCTTGAGAATTCGAAAGTTGGATGAAATTCACTCCAAACATCCCACTAACCAAGCTATTGAAAACCAATAGTTTTCTCAGGGAGGAGAAACGTTGTGAATACATAAAGTTTTCAAGTTTGACTTGCTTTCATCTCGGATGCGAAAGGTTTTATTTTTGCAAGTTGTGTCAAAGATTGTCTTGAGTTTGGACCAGTGGCAAGTAACAGCCTTGAGGGGGAAGACAGCAACAGGTTGGGCAAATTCACACACACTCAGACTTCACTTGAAGCTTTCCGGGAAGTAGGTAATCGCTTCATTTGATTCGCAGTCTTCATACTGTACAGATGATCAGGGTTGGAGTTGGGAAAGTTGCAACAACTGACAACAACAAAAAAAAATTGTGTTGATATTGACTGACATGACACATTACCACAATGATGGCTTTATCAGAAGGGCAGTCGGTAGCACAGAGATGTATCTTGCGACAAGTTGCAATGAAGGGGATAGTGAAATTTCACTTTATAATGTGACTGAGACTGAAGTGGAAATCAACACAAGCAACATAGGAGGCGACGCATGCCAAATGCGGAACATCGCATCAATCTGTACGTGGGAGGTTGTGCTGAGGCATGAAGAACAGACCTATACATCAAATAGGAGCAAACCAAAATCCATGTAGTGGTACTGCTTACCCTTAATACTTTTGATTCATTGGCGTCTACATTAACCACAACTGCCTACCCAAGTTGATGTAGTACGAAGCACCAGATGTCATTATTACATTCATTGCCGCATCTGGATCAATACTCGCCAGATACACACCTCAATTCGTGCAGCAGATACCCAAGTGCCAAAAAGACTACTAGACTTAAAAAGCTTTCTACAGCACTTACCAATTTTTAACATTCAAAAAAAAAAAAAAACACAAAAACTATATACTGAAATGGAGGGAGATTGGGAAACTGGAACGGACTTCACTGGGACGCTGATTCTGGAACATTTGAAATCATTGAACAAAACTGGGGGACTTCTGGGTTAAACCCATTGGAGTTAGCTTGGAAAATCTTGTAATCCAACAAAGACCAACGGGATAGTATTTCTGGCGAAAATAGAGAAAACAAGGGAAAACAACATGGGGTTCAACATGGGAAAGAGCACATTGATATTAACCACAGGAAAGACACTTGACCTGAAATGGGAATTTTGACAACACTTATGCATGTCGGGCAATAATCTGACACTTGAAACACCACAACCTTTGAGTCTAAGTTGTAAAGTTAGTCGTCTAAACGCTAAAACATGTCAATTTCAATAATCACCGAGAAAGCAAGGTAAAACTGAGCTGAACAAATGTAGCTAAAGTGTGAGTTAGTAATCTGATAAATTTAATGTCAAAGTTAACAACCGTACAAAGATAACAAAGTGATGCTTCTATTTGTAACTTGTTAGCAGTCTGCAATTACCAAATGTAACAATCGTCCTCAAAAGAAAATGAAAGTGAATTGATGTTCAAAGTTGCTGGCAGCTAACTAAAAAAAACTCAACACCTGAAACCAAAGAACAAAGAGCCAAATCTGTATTTCCACCAGACTCAATCTCAGCAGAATAAGTACTAAAAACAGGGGGGTTCTTTCCAACTAATTCAGACAGTGTTCCGCCCCCAAGAGCTAATGGACCAGACTATCTCTTTGGAATATCGAATTGTCTTTACAGCTTTTGTTTCCAACCAAAACTTGATGAATCTGCAGTGGCGACTTGTATTTGATGCTCCACGATGGATGATGCATATTGGTTAGCTTTGATGAAGGTGAATGTGAATGTCAATGTGGAATCGATGATGAATGCTTGATGGATGGATGAAGAGGAGTGGAGAAAGAAAGATGGTTGATAAAAAAATTGCTATACAACCACAGATACATACACAAATACACCTGACATGCTCTGTAAAATATTCTGGCTGCTAAAAATTTCATTTTTTGTTTGTTTTATTGTATTTTATTGGTATGCTCTAGACAGATTGCGTTTTTCACTAACACTGTTGACAAAGGGATCAGAAAAGTTGGATCCTTGGACTTACTTATGACAAATTGTGTATCAGCTATTTGTGTAGTTAGTGCCAAACGTTAAACTAACTCTTAAATTGGTGTTGTATCTTGTAAGCTATATCTTTTGAATGATGTAATTGGAGTGTGTGTTATTTTTTAAGCTACACAAACAATTATCACCAGATTACGAATTCAGCGCGCACGTGAACAATCACATCTCTAACATAGTAAAACTTTGGACAACTATCGGCACGCGTTTTTTAAACTTTTCTCAACTCGTATAATTTTTGTACATGTATATGCATGTGCATTTCATCCTCGAGAACATGTTTTGAATACAAAAGGCACGATGTTTGTCTGGTCGAGCAGGACGATCTTCTGTCGCGAACACAAAAGTTGCGAAAAAACGAAACAGAACAAAAGACAAAGAGAGCTAAAAATAAAGACGTCTGTAGAGAATTTCAGGTCTATATTGATATATATATCTCACTTTTGCTTGGCACGGACTTTGAAGTTGAGCAGAGAGAAGGAGAAAGTTGCACTGGATTTCAAAAAGCACTGTCTGTGGTCTTATCACCAAGAGTTAACCACCTGGTTTGGTTGGTGCATAGTCTTTTCTCAGATTCTATGCGCATAATGCATAACAATAAGATGGAAGGAGAAAAAAAAAAATAAAAAAAAAAAACCAAATGAGAAACGCTGAAGAAATAAATAGACGTAGAACAAACAAAAAAAATAATAGAACAATATCAATATATAATCTATAGGATCTTACTTTTGCTCTTTGCTGGAGGGTTGATGAAGTGTCGACGTGAAAGACTGAAGTTACAAAGTTGTGCTTCCCTTTAGCACAAAAGCACACACACGCACGCACACACTCACGAGAAATTTGAGATTCAATTCTTGCCAAAGTAGTTAGTACAGTACACGTCTAAAAGTGCAACAAAATTAAAATTCTGAAATTCTAAAATTCTAAATTTATATTTTTTTTGTTCTTTTAGAATTTTAATTTTAGTTAGATTTCCATCTTTTGAAGGATTTCAATTCAACGGAGTAAAATACATCATTTCCATCTACCTACCCACACCAATTACCCATTCTGCCAAAGGTAACTTATATATACAGCTTCATCATCCTCATTTCAACAACCCGGTCTTACAACACATCCGTCGAATATCCCTCCTGACTGATAAAGGTTATCCGCATTCCTCCCTTCCGTTTCCTTCATTTCCCGTGCAACTCATTTCCTTCAACACACACACACATATACACACACACCAATTCCGCTCCCCACAACAACAGTCGCAGCAATGTCAACATGCTAGATCCATCAACAAGATTGAGAAACGCCGTCATAGCCGGTAATTTAGCCATAGTCAAGCGAATACTATCACGATTCCCTGAATTGTGGCTCAATGTCGACCCCAATCACCAAGGCTGGTCCAATCTTCATTATGCATCGTATCATGGCCACTACTTGATCTGTTTCCATTTAATCACTTTCATCAACAAGACATTGGGCAATTTGCAAAATGAGTACACCACGTTGGATTTGTTGACTTTTGATAATTTGAATGTGCTTCATTTGACTATGGAGCATCATCATTCACAAACTTTGCATTATTTATTACAAGAGTTTCCCGGGAAAATATGGCTCAATTCAATAGGAGGACCTCATAAACAATCACCATTGCATTATAGTTGCAGATACAATTTCAAAGAGGGGACAAACTTGTTGTTGGAATTTGGCGCCAATTACAATTTGGCTGACGAGAATGGCGATACTTGTCTACATATATGCTTCCAGTACGGGAGTATAAAATGTTTGTATGAAATATCAAATCATATTATCAGGCTGTCGAAGGATAAAGACACAGCAAAAGCAGCTATCGACACTTTTGAAAATGTCAAGAACAAAAATGGATGGATTGCAAAGGACTTTGCTTCCAGCTTTGAGTTGATTCAACAGTATGAAGATGTCAAGAGTCGAAGTTTAGCAAGCTATGATTTAGTCACACCACCACCACCTGAGCCACTTGCACCACCAGTAAAGACTCAACTTTGGCTCGATTCTGAAAGAGCCAACAATTTCTCACGAGGCTCACTAGAGGAGAACAAGGTGTTGACTAGTCCAATTGTGCTGATGTCTCAACAACAACAACAACAACAACAACACAACCTGCCACTGCTATCGAGACCTCCATACAGGCGACAACATTCTCAGTCGGTACCAAATGAGCAAAGCAAAACCACTAGCAACGAAACCAATAGCAATCCTTTGCGCCAGAGATCAAACACTACATTCAGTAGCAAGCCCACTCCACTAAACATATCGTCGAAACCATCCCACACTTCCTTACATGGAAATTCAATGGGACTGTTGCACGGAGCAGTTGCTCCCTTGACCCCGTTGAATCCACCAAAAACACCATCTATAAAATCAGTCACTATATCACCTGTGGGTGCAGACCCTACAAGCTCAAGCATTGACAAGGAACGGGATTTGGAATCGCCGCAATCGGTCTCTAGTGGCTCGTCGTATTTTGCACACTCAAGTGACCATCATTATTCTGCAAACACAAGAACGCGCAAGCCCTCTGTATCAAAACCAACTACATTACCGTCGATAAATTCACCCGTGGCAAACACATTCGACGAGGCATCGGGTCAACAGAGTGTAACAGCAAATACCCAACTCCAGTCCCACGAGTTGAAACCCAGTCCTGCATCATCTTCATCGTCAATTGCTGCTAAAGTTGCTTTCAATTCAAGCAGATCATCCTCCTTGCATAATGTATCAGATACCAGCCCCATGAAAACAAGACCAAGGTCATCTTCCCGTCAACCTTCCAATCTCAGCAATAGCCGAGTCAACAGTTTCAACAGTACACTGAGCTCAAACAGTGCAGCTTACAGCATACCGCAAGAACTGTCAATTGCAAACAGCTCGAGCTCGAGCTCGAGTTTTGAGACTATACATCGACCCAAGAATAATTCCGAGAATGATGTTACCACAAGTGCAGGAACTTCCAAAACCAATTTGAATCATTTCACATTGAAAAAATCAAGGTCGTCTGGTACGTTACCTTCCAAAGTTCCCAAGAATGGCGGTCATCATGTGTTTGTTCATACTGCTGGTAATACGAGTCTTCATTCCTTGAATAGCAACGCAGATTACGAGACAAAATCTTCGGTAAATAGCATATCATTTAGTCGTGTCAGGTAGAATTAGCTAGCATAAATTTTCATAAGAATCGTCTGCTGCAAATAATAGTGAAGGAAAAAAAAAAAAAAAAGAATAAAAAACAAAAAGTAAAAAGTAAAAATAAAAAGTAAAAAAATAAAAAATACGCGTTGCGAAATATTTGTCATAATATGGCCGTATGGTACCAGGAAAATGTCGGCCAAGAAGCAACCCTCAATAAACCAGTTCTTCTCAAGTCAAAGGTCCAAAAGTTCAGAAAATGAAGAGTCTCCAAGATCAAGCCCTTCGAAGCAATCATATTCTAAAGGCATTGAGAAATTTCAGTTTGTCAAACAGCAAACCGCAATCGATTCTCCAAAAAAGCTAATGGTAGAGGATGATGCACCCGCTTCTGGATCAAGCACACCCAATACCTCACCATTGCCCACAGGTTTTGCCAGCTCAAACTTACTCGACAGTTTCCAGTATGACAAGAACTCGTCATCCGTCCCACCACGGACAAAACGCCACGCCCCACATCCTATAACCAACAACAGCAAACCAAAAAAGCCTCGCACTACCAAGCTTACCCCGTTGGAGAACCAGATCTTGGAACTAACTGAACTCCACCAGGATAAAATCCTTCTCATTCAAGTCGGGTACAAGTACAAAGCATTTGGAGAAGATGCAAAACACGTTTCGAAATGTTTAAACATCATGTATGTTCCGAGCTCCGATGCTCGATTTGCATATTGCTCCTTCCCTGATACCAGGCTCCACATTAACCTACAGCGAATTTTGAATAGTGGAGTCAAGGTGGGTATTGTCAAGCAAATGGAAACAGCAATTGTTAGAGAGATTGACAAAGCGGGCAAGAGCGGTGATTTAATGAGGCGCGAAGTTACCGGAGTTTATACAAAGGGCACTTATATGAGTGATGAGTTTGTTGGTAGTAACTTGATACCAAATACGGTCGAGGAGGAACATAATAGCTATATTGTGTGTATTAATGAGGTGTCTGATCGTGAATTTGCCGTTATTGCCGTGCAGCCATTGACGGGTGAAATAATTTACGATGTGTTTGTTGACGATGTGAGTCGAGAAGAGATGGAAACTAGATTGTTGTATCTTCGACCTAGTGAAGTCATCGTCATTAATGGTGAGGAGAGCATCAATCCCACAACCATGAAATGTTTGAAACTCGTCAATCATGAACTCAAGATTGAGCATAGGAGAACTGGACATGTGCAATTCGGTGACCACCTAAATTTGGACATGGCTGATTATTATGTTGAAAATTTCCCCTTACTGGTCCAACAATGCTTTTACGAACTTATTGTATACTTGGCGGAATTCAAGTTGAGCAACGTCTTTACAATCTCACAAAATATAACCACTTTCAAGGATGCTCGAAAATATATGATACTACCCGCAAGTACACTTTCCGCATTGGAAATTTTCACCAATTCAACCGATCCAAAGTCACCTAGAGGAACATTGGTGTGGCTTCTCAATCACACTCGAACGAGGTTTGGAAGCCGATTGCTACACAAGTGGATATCTAGACCATTGATTGATAGGGAGAGGATTGAGGAGCGGTATGCGGCGGTGCAGGAGTTAGGACTGGAGTTCAACCACGTGGTTGATTCTTTAATGAAACAGTTGGAAAAGATTGGCAAACTGTTGGACATGGAAGAGTTGCTCATCAAGATACATTATTCGGCAACTACTCAATCAACAAGAATAAACAGGAAGCAAATTTTCGTGTTGTTGCACAGTTTTAATGATGTGTTGACGTTGGTGAAGCTGTTTGCCAAGACGATACGAAGCTCGAGCTTGAATTTGACGTCGTCATTGATTGTCCAAATGTTGAATAATTTACTAGAGCTGGCTGAGTTGGGAATCGTGGAAAATTTCATCACCATGATGAATCCTTCCTATTTGTTTAATGAACTGAAGGATCCTTTTGAGCAAAAATCGGGCTTTTTCAATTTAAACCATGGATATGATGACATTAATCACGAATTTGCTGAAATAAAGAATGTGGAGCAATTACTAGATAAGGAGCTTGTCAAGGTGAGAAAATTGTTGCAGCGACCTCAATTAAACTACGTGACATGTAATCGTGAGCCATATCTTATTGAAGTACGAAATGGGAAAGCTGTTGATGCGTTGCCGTCCAATTTCATCAAGATTAATGGAACTGCAACAGTTAGTCGATTCAGAAACAAGGAGATTTCAAACTTGTACAAGTTGAAACAATACCACGAAGAAATATTGATTCAACGCTGTGATGAAGCATTTGTTGAGTTTCTACAAAATTTGGACTCACAGTATGGGTTTTTCCAAAAAGTTGTCAAACATCTAGCCACGTTGGACTGTTTGCTTTCAATTACAGCAGCTAGTGTACTCAACAATCAAGTGAGACCAACATTGACTGATGATCTAGTAATTGATGTGAAACAAGCTCGACACCCAATAGTGGAACAGTTGAGAGATGGGTACGTTGGCAATGACATCAATATTCAATACGACACTAATCGAGCATTGATTATAACTGGTCCAAACATGGGTGGAAAGTCGTCGTATGTAAAAATGGCGGCTTTGTTCACCATAATGACTCAAATTGGGTGTTACTTGCCCTGTGAATCAGCAACAATGGGGATATTTGATTCGGTATTTATACGTATGGGAGCTAGTGATAATATTCTCAAGGGCAACTCGACATTCATGACGGAGATGTTGGAGTGCAGTAACATTATTCAAAGATTGACTACACGATCGTTGGTGATTTTAGATGAAATTGGACGAGGCACAGGTACAACCGATGGAATTGCATTAGCGTATGCGATTCTCAGATATTTTATTGAATCGGAATCGAAACCGTTACTCCTATTCATTACCCATTACCCATCAATTCATGTTTTGGAACATGAATACCCTGGAGAAGTTGTCAATTACCACATGGGATTTGAGGAGATTGGCAAGGAAAAGGGACAATTCCCCGAAGTCATATTCCTGTACAATTTGTGTCGTGGAGTGGTTAACAACTCGTATGGGCTCAATGTGGCAAAGTTGGCGGGAATACCTGAAGCTGTCATTGCCAATGCCTATCAAGTAAGTGAGGAGTTGAAAACTGAAATTGAACTTGATGACGCAATCAATTTGTTGAAAATGGCCCATTCGGTAGTCGAGGGTAATACGCAACTTTCTAATCTATTCAAGTATATAAAGTAAAACAACTAAACACTCGGTGAAGAAAAGAAGAAATTTAGAACCAACTTGTTGAAAGCTTGTGGATTATCGAGATATATGTGATGTCCAGCATCTTGAACTATTTCAAACTTTGTAATTGCATCATTCTTTTCCACAATCTTCTTGTAAATATATTCACCTCCTTTTGAATTCATCCAATCTTTATCTCCATACACCCACAACGTATTGATACCATTATCCACCACCAAATCAACAAACCCTCGATCACAAAGTGGCAATTTGGCCAAGATTTCATGATTTATGAGTTTTGTAATTGCCAATTCTCCCAGGGATTGATACTGGTTGAAAATGGAGAATGAGTAACCGTGTAATTTGTAAATGAGGTCCATTGTGTCGTGGGAACCAGCCAAGTTTCTAAATCTGGCAAATGACCAGTACGAAATCAATTTCGAGTAGAATGGACCCGTCTTTTGTAACAAGTCAAAGGGTGATTTATTATTTTCCCAAAGTTTCTGTAATACTGAACTTTTGGGGAATTTAGGTTTGCCCACTAGTTCCAAAGCTTTAGTGAATTCAGGACTAACCACCACTTTTTCTGCCTCTCCTTCTTCTCCTGCTCCTCCTCTTGCTCCTCCTCCTTCTTCTTCTTCTTCAAATTGTAACTCTCGTAAAGGGTTACTGGTGTAGTGGAGATTCACATTGTATCTCTCGTCATTAATCAAACTATGCTGATTCGATTCCGTGCCCATTGGACTAACCAAGATCAAATCGGTGACAATATTATTACCGTTGTCTTGTATCCCATATTTCATCAAGTAACAACAAGACAAATACGCACCCATTGAATGAGCAATGACTTTGAAATGGGTGATATTTCTCACCATACGCCAATTTTCAATCTTGTCAATAAACCAAGTTTCAATCTCCAAAATCTGTTCAATCTGTTGTCGTTTTTTGGTGGGAGTAGTGAGAAACTGTCTTGGAAATCGGGGTCTTGCTGAATTTCCAAACCCGGGTAAATCAATCAAATGGATACGTATACCGGGGATTTGAACCAACAGTTCAATGTTTTTGATAAAGTATCCCAATGCCGCCATGTATCCGTGTATGATCACAATGTGTTGTTCTGGACCAGGGTTGGTATTTTCCAAGTAAAATTCGTGAATGAATGACCCGTCTTTAAGCTCAATATCAAGTAGCGCACCTCGCTTTGTGTTTGACTTGGCTTTGTCCTTGTCTTTGGTGCCACTCGTCTCGGTCTCTCCCAACTCTGGTGACTCAATGTAAATATCATTCAGTAAAACAGCTCTGAATAAGTCGTATTCAATTTGTCTATTCTTAAGCAACGCCTCTTTGAATTTCAAATCGTCTTTGTTCAATTTGCTATGCTCTCGTTTTAGTTCCAGCGATGACGACCACCAATCTTGGAAGGACTTCAATAACGGGATTGAGGTGACTGAGGACTTGCTGGTGTTGCCGGCGCTCAACTTACCAGATGTCGAATCTATTGACGTTTCGGATGAGGATGATAAATGTTCTTGTTTGGTGGTGGGGATTGTGTTGGGGTTCCCCATTGCCTCTATTGAGGTCTGTATTAACGAGGTCATGCTGGGGAAACGTAAGGGAGATTTGTGTGGTGTTGTGTGGTGTTGTGTGGTGTTGTGTGGTGAGGTATGAATTACGTGGATGTTGAATTTAAATTGCGTCTTATCTTTTGTTTTGTCGTTGCATTTAGTGCCTTATCTCCGGATTTGGAGATAAGGAGAAGTCCACTCCCCCCTCTCACCTCCAATGTTTAGATATACCTACATACGACATTTCAGCTAGTGCAACTTCGTTATAAAACGGCTAGGGATACACCACATACCTCCTCTCAAACTACAATCTCTATCTCCCAATTCAAATCCTTTCTATTAAAACTAAAAATATCAAAAAGTACTCATCGACAATGTAGAAATGAAAAAAAAAAAAAAGAAAACAAACTAAACATATACCATATTAGACATTGTCGCAATCAGAACCAACCCATACTGTATTAATGTTGGACTTTATTATCAACTTCAGAGTACGAAGGTGGTGCTCCACTTTGGGGTTGACCAATTTTGGCGCTGCTGCCAATATTACCTCCCTCAACAACCGAACCGTATCCAAATACAGGTTGGTTTACAGGCTCTTCAGTAATATGTGACTGGTCATGATGGTGACTGGAGTGGCCTTGGTGGTGGTGGTGGTGGTGGTGATGTTGATGTTGATGAGGGTGATCTCTAGGTGTTTGATTCTCCAAATCATTTCTGTAGACATAGTACACCTTGGATTCAGCTTGATGGGAATAGGGTGGGTATTTAGCAATGATATACCACGCGTGAATCAAGCCAGGTATGAAGCCAAGGATGCAAAGAAGAATGTTGATGGCGGAGTCCTTGGAACAGATTCCACGACGAATCCATACTGGCAAAGGAGGGAAAAACACAGAAAGAACAATCAATAGAAGATCGGCAAGGCAAGCGCACATGAGTTATGGAGTCTCTTTTGTTTCAAAAGGGTGGAGTTGGTATCAAACTAATTGCTCTTGATGATAAAGAGATTCAGTTTGTGAAGGGNATGGAGTCTCTTTTGTTTCAAAAGGGTGGAGTTGGTATCAAACTAATTGCTCTTGATGATAAAGAGATTCAGTTTGTGAAGGGCAGTCATGTTAATTTTTTTTCTGTCTTTTTTTTTTTTTTTTATTTTATTTTATTTTCTTTCTTGCATTATAGAGGCTGTGTCGTATAGTGAAACAAAAGAAAGATTGTCGTGAGCATATTTGTTACGACACTAGTGTTTTTTTTTTTATTTTTTTTTTCCTAATCTTCGCTTGTCTTTTGACGGTGGTTTAGCTTTTGCCATTCAAATCGTCATTACCCATTGAACGGATTTCCAAACAGCTACTACCAGCTATGTCCACACTAACATTGAACATTACATACCAAGGACACCCCAAGAGGTTCACCGTTAGCAAATCACAAACTATATCCCAATTTATAACCCAATGTTTGACGAGCTATAACGTCGACTGCAATACATTCAGTGCTGAATTATATCACAACAACAAGGCATTAGATTCAGCATCGCCCTTCAGATTGACAAACCTTCTGAACAATGCTAAACTTACACTAAAAGTGAAGAAACTTGATCTCGATAAAGAAATTAATGTCAAGTTTATAAGTGAAAAGGGCACGGTAGTGAGGAAATTCACAATCGGGGTCACATTGGAGGAACTTGTTGAGCAAGTAGTGGGCCAATTGCAGAAACCAACGCAGTTGAGAATATTGGATTTGGTGATTGGTTATGAAAAGTACACTGCTACCACATTGGTGTCGGTTGTTGGGAATGCCAATAGTGTTGTTATTCGATTAGAGTATCCGAAGCTGACGAATGAGAAGGATGCATTGTTTAAGAAGCAGCAGGAGGCTAATCGATTGCAGTTGGCAGAGACTCAAAGACGCCAAGAATTGGAAAGGCAAAAGCGCATACAGGAGGAGGAAAAAGAGAGGGAAAGAAAAAGAATTGAGAGAGAGAGTCAACTGAATGCAAGGGGAAATGGTGTGACGGAGTCTGCTCAAGAGGAAGATGCGCAGATGAAAGATGTTGAAGAGGAAACGCCTTCAACGGGTGCTGAGTCGGTGTCCAAACCAAGCACAGGAGAAAAGGCAGTGGGAGTAGTTGGAGTTACTTCTGCAGGTGAAGGCAATAGCGACAATTTTGTCTATCTAGAAGAAGAAGAAGAAGAAGAAGAAGAGCCCATTGATGAAACTCCCAAGTTGTATGTACCATCAAACAAACCACAGCCTACATACCAAAACCCCGATGAAGATTACAACATGACAATAGATCAAGCCAAGACTTATCAAAATGTGATTCGCAATTCAGCAAAGAGAGTTAAAAAGATAGAGGGAAACAACAAAAGCAAACCTTCCAAGTATTTTATACGTGTCAAGTTCCCCGATGGGGCCATGTTGCAAATCAATTTCATTGAAAATGTTGAAGATGTCAAATTTGGTAATTTAGTTAAACGAATTGATGAATTATTGATCAAGGAGTATATTGATAATTATAATTTGAAAATTGGGTATCCTCCATTCACGAAATTGAATCAATCGTTTGCTTTGAATAATGAGAAATTGCACAATTTGGAACATTTCCAACTGGAACAAGTTGTATTGATATGGGAGTTGAGTAAAGATAACGATGCTGCTGCAACCAATGGGGCTACTAAATATAATCAAAGGGGTCCATTTTTGAATAATGAGTCTAAAGATTTGGTTATTAAACCAAGTGATGAATTACCAGCGATAAAGTTGGAAAAACATCGGAAGGAATTGAAAGAAGGCGATTCATCATCATCATCATCATTACCATCGTCTAATAAATCAGGTGGAGGAGGATTATTCAAATCGAAATCAAAGAGTAAAGAAGGTGATGCAGAGAAAGATGAAAAGAAATCCAAATTACCCAAATGGTTGAAAATGAAAAAGTGAATATGAGACGTGTTACGTGTTGGGCTGGTGTATTTATAGATGATATTAGGAATCAAGAAACGGAGTTATCAGCTGTGTTGTATAAAATAAACGAATATTGTCAGGGTCTATGTATTTCGGAGTTTAGAGACAAAGGGCTCAGCAAATCTCCGCCGTTTACGGTTGTAAGCAAATACAACCCAGTTGCCAATTTGGGAAGTACGCGCTTTACGGTGAATCACAAAAAGACAAAAAGCAAAAATTGCGGTGAAGTAATTCCGCTCTCTCTATACTTAAAAGAAAAAAAAAACACAATACATACAGGAAGGAAGAAAAGGTGGTCTCAAATGCCGCTACAATTGAAGAAAGGTCTAAAGCAAAGGAAGCATACGAGTGTAGTAGTGTAATGGAATTGACTGAAAGGGGTGTAATTTGAGGTCAAATTAATAGATATCTGTTGTTGTTGTTGTTGTTGTTAGTGGAGATGAGGGGTAATTCTTTGTAGATCTTTTTTCACTAACAACAAATTTATATATACATATATTTATGTTATGACTCATATATATATTGATATATATTGATATATATTAATATATATTGATATATTAGAATAAGTAAATTGTAAACTAATTTTGTGGTTGTTGTTGACATTTGTAAAAGAAAAGTATCTTCAACCAATAAGAAGTCAATGCTCTAATAATTATTATTTAATACTTTGTGTCTATTATTATTATTTAATTATTGTGTATTAGTATTTCAAGTAGGTCGTGTACTTTTGTATTAGAATTAATATCAACAAAATACAAATATTTGGTTTATTGCCCTAAAAATATTTTGTGGGTGTATACATATAAATACTATCATCCATTCTCACTCTATCCACTTTTTCTTTTTTTTTTTTCTTTCTTTCAATTGAAAATTTTTACTTTCTTCTTCTTCTTATTTCACTACTTCAACTTTCAACAATCAAACAAACAGTATACAACTAAACAGATCAAATCTAACTACTACTACTACTACTACTACTACTACGCCTACTACTACGCTTACAACTACGAGTACTACTTTTATTGCACTTTTATTTTTTTTTACCCCAATTTTTTTACTGAGCCTACATTGAGATTACACTATACAATCATGTGTGCTTAAATTTAACTTTGTTTACTACTACAATCAAAGAAAGAAAGAGAGAACCTTAACCTATTATTTATCATCACTATGTCATAAATAATAACCTACTTTACTTTTTTATTCTCCCCATAAAGAAAAGAGTTTATTACATCAACCAAATCAAATTTTACATTTTGATCGTTTTTGTTTGTTTGCAAATCCATTACACAACCCCCTTTTTAAAAATGTTGAAATAGAATTAAATTAACTTTCCCCGTCCATTATGGCGCTTCTACTACTATTAGACTACTATCAGAGATAACATTAAAGAAAGAAAAAAAAAAGAAATTACTAGAATAACTACTGTTTACGAATCATTTGATATTTTTACTACTGCTACAACTGTTACTTGTTTGAACAAAGAAAGAATTATATTATCAAATACAATTACAATGTCTGCTGCTACTGCTAAACCCACTGCTACTACGCCTATTGACTTCGAAGATTCATTGTTTGAATCACACGAAATGATCAATGACAAGATGATTGAACCTAGAAAGAATGATACTGATGCTGCTACTCACACTAGTGCTGCTGCCGCTGTTTCATCATCTGAGGTTACTACTAATCATCACCACCAAGAAAAGGAAGTTGCATCGCCTTTTCAAATCCACTCAAGTGTATTGGACTCTGTCTTTAGTACAAACTTGGATGGAAAGGATGCTCTATTAGATCATACTCCTATGTTTGATGAATTGGATTTCATCATGGATGGTGCCAAGGTCAACTCCAAGGAGGATTGGGTCGCTCTCTTTGGAGGCGATGGTTCAGACGATGGTGGTGCTGCTACTACTGCTGCTACTGCTGCTACTGCTGCCATGTTCCCAACTGATGAGAAAGGAGGAGATGTCGTTGGTGAATTTGGTCCAATTATTTCCTTGGAGGATGGTGCTGTTGTTCATAATGATGAAGACTCTATTGTCCCACACGATGAGGTCTTGGAGGCCTTGTTGTTTGAGCCATCGCCAAATGGGCTATCAGATGATACCATTTCGGCAGCAACTACATCGGCGTCCAGTCCCGATTTGACTAGCACTGTTGCTACCAGTGTTGGTAATGGTGTTGGTGGTGGTGCTGCTGCTGCTGCTGCATCCACTACTTCTCACAAGAGACCTTTTGGAGAGGTTGAATCTCGCCACCATGGTCATCACCAATCTCAATTGTTTACTCCAAACCCCTCATCTACTTTACCAACCCCTCAATTGGACATGAAGAGAACTCACCACTCTTCCTCTTCTTCTTCTTCTTCTTCTTCAAAGAGAGCCAAGGTTGATCATTTGGGATGTGTCACATACTCCAAAAAGCAAAGATCACAAACTTTGGAGCCCATTACATTTGAAGGCATTGAAGATTCAGCCGCTTTGAAAAGAGCCAAGAATACTGAAGCTGCTAGAAGATCAAGAGCAAGAAAGATGGAGAGAATGACTCAATTGGAGGATAGGGTTGAGGAATTGATGGGTGAGAATTCCAAGTTGGTTGATGAAGTTGAAAGATTGAAGGCTTTACTTGGATCTCATGGAATTGCCCATTGATGAGAGTCGATGAATTTTTATTTTTTTTTTTATTTAGTTTGAGATTTTAATTTAGAATAAGGAAAATAGAAAAAGAAGAAAAATATATGTGAGTTTTGATTTAATTGAATTGTTGTAGATTGTTTTATTGTTGATGTGTTTCAGTGATTTTATTGTGTTTCAGAAATATTCAGGGGCACGTGACTCGATTAATTTATTTATGTTGGAAATTTAATTCGCTTTGTCTTAATTTCCTTGTATTCTTTTTCATAGAGTAATTGACCATTCTGATTCTTTTAAATTGGTATAACACCCTCTTGGTATTGGTCAGTCCCAGCAACTTTTTCTTCATCAACAAATGGACGAAGGGGGAGACAATTTGTCAGTTTGATTTGGAGTGACTTTTGCATTGACTTTCTTGCAAATATTTAAACAACACCCAATTGGAGGAATTTGTTTGGATATCACTCGAGCAAGTCTTGTGCAAGGCCACGAAAGATCATGATGGAAAGGGGTGACGGAGCCAGAAAGATGGAGAGATCACATCGTGAATCGTATTTACAAATGCCCTGATGCACGCCATTAACGTGTATCGTAAATTGTCTCTGTTTTAATATTTTTTTCTTTTATTTTTATATTTTTTTTTTTTTCCTGACAATTTTGTGTTTTGTAATCCTGGTACTTGTACGGCATTTTTTTTATTTTTTCATTCTAGAGGACGCCTTTGATTTCAAATAAATACAAATCACAACAAGTGCAAGTAAAGTGGAATAGACAAGTTCTTGTATGGCTTATGCGATCGAGTTAGTGATTACTGCAGCATGCCAAGCTAGTACCAAAAAAGGAAAGACAAGTAGAGTCGCCGAAAAGTGGGGGTTTGTATTTCGCTTGTTATCGTAATTTAATTTTACAATTAAGAGATTCACTTTCTCTTATCTATTTATTGTTCCGAAGGAATAACACGAGGCGAATGCAATCTTAGATCCTCTTAAAATTGCACTCCCAATATAGAGTCTATGGCATAACTACGGTCCATCCCGAATGCAAATTGGGATAAAAGATTTGCTTTAAATCGTACGGCACGAGATATTGCAAAAAGATACACCACCTTCAATGAGGGAGACAATTTGCTTTTTCTCTCAAAGAGTGGGCAAAGACCAGTGGACACTCTATCCTACTGCATATGCCAATGCACTTAACGACAATGCTACACGAGGTGCTATGTGTTGAGAAACTGAGACTGCAGTAAGCTTCATTTTTCAAACAAAGAGGACTTATGGTTATTTTCCGTATATGCTTATCTCTGTCACTTTAATTGGGTTCACGGCAAAAATATGAAATCCCTTCAAGAAATAGGGAAGAGAAAAAAAAAAAGAAATTTTCTACAATTCTTCTACATCCATACATCAATACTTAATGTGTTGCACAAAATATAAAAAAAATCAGACAATTAGGGCTTTTTCTTTTCTTGTTCTTAAACTCTCGCGATGGAATTTTTTTTTTTGCAATTTTGAATTAAACCTTAAAACCAAAAGATGTCATATCTCAAATCTTTTTCCACTTTCTTTCTTTCCTCTTATCTCTAAGATTCATTAGATAATCCCAGATCAGATTGATTTTGTCATCACAATTTACTTTACTATAAGTACCACCTCCCCTCCCGCTCAAGACACACCAGTCCACACACCCACCCACGAACCCAAACATCATCTCCTATATATTTCACACCTTCCAAACAGTGAAATATAATTTATCCATCTCCAATTTCTAGTATTTACTTACGAAAAAAAAAACAATAATAATAAAAAGGATCTCATAATCCAGTCAAGTTCCAGTCAAGTTACTACTTCTATAATCGCAAGCTTTGACATATATATTTGACAAGTTGCTAAATAACTTACTTTTTCGTCACTAAGAGATAAACTCAAACCCCATTTTCACTACTAAATATGAAGCATACTGAAGAAGAAAAGACCGTTGGTCTCGAACACGAAAAGAGTCTCAATTACGAAGACGACTTTGCTCCAAGTTCCCAAGCCTCGCAAACAGAAGTACAAGAAACCAATGTCAATTTTATCGATCGTTGGGCCCACAAATTGAAAGCTGAAACTAAAGGTATTGATTTAGTCACTGATGAAGAAAAAACCGATACTTCAGTATGGAATGCCGCTACTATGTGGTTGAGTGCCAATTTGGTCATTGCCACTTTTGCTCTTGGTGCATTGGGGATCACTGTGTTTGATTTAGCTTTTGGTCAAGCAGTCTTGACAATCATCTTTTTTGCCGGATTGGGTAATCTCACCGTTGCCTACTTTTCCTTATTTGGACCTGTTTTGGGATTGAGACAAATGATTTTGTCGCGTTTGATGATTGGTGATTTGACGGTGCGGATATTTAGTGCTATTAATGTTGTTGCTTGTGTTGGTTGGGGTGCTGTCAATATCATGTCAAGTGCCCAATTGTTGCACATTGTCAATAATGGCGCCTTGCCTCCATGGGCCGGATGCTTGATTCTTGTTTTGTGTACCATCTTGGTAACATTTTTTGGATACCATGTCATTCACATTTATGAGAAATGGTCATGGATCCCCAACTTGATCATCTTCATCATCATTATTGTCAGATTTGCCATGTCGGGTAATTTCGATAGTGCAAATTTCGTTGGTGGTCAAACTACTGCTGGTAATGTCTTGAGTTTCGGTAGTACAGTTTTCGGGTTCGCTACTGGGTGGACCACTTATGCGTCAGATTACACAGTTTATCAACCAAGAAACACCAATTTGATGAAGTTGTTTATTGCTATTTTCCTTGGTATTTATCTTCCAACTGTATTTGCATTGATTTTGGGTGCTGCTTGTGCCACCGGTATCAAGTCCGATCCTAATTGGGCAGCACAATACGACGAAAACTCAGTCGGTGGATTGGTTTACTCCATCTTGGTTACTGATTCATTACATGGGTTTGGACAATTTTGTTGTGTTGTGTTGGCATTGTCAACAGTTGCAAACAATATCCCAAATATGTACTCAATGGCACTCAGTGCCCAAACTGTTTGGACCAAATTCCACAAGATCCCTCGTGTTGCATGGACATTCATTGGTAATGGTGCAACATTGGCCATTTGTATCCCAGCTTACTACAAGTTTGAATCAGTTATGGAAAACTTTATGAATTTGATTTCATACTATTTGGCTATTTATGAATCTCTCTTGTTGAGTTCACACTTGATTTGGCACAAGGGTAAATTCAGATCGTATGATTACGAGCACTACAATGATAAATCAACGTATCCTATTGGATTAGCCGGTACTTTTGGTTTTTGTTGTGGGATTGCTGGTGTTGTTTTGGGCATGAACCAAACTTGGTATGCCGGTGTTATTGGTAGACAGATTGGAGACTTTGGTGGTGATATTGCGTTTGAATTGGCTTTTGTATTTGCCTTTGTTGGATTCAACGTAACGAGGTATTTCGAAAAGAAGTACATACGGTAGATGATCCATAGAGACTTTTGCACAAGAGTACTTTACACTTTTTGTATTATTAGTTAAGTTAAAACGTGTGTGACACCTAGATGAAGCGGAGTATGCCACTAACAGGCAAGCTACACTTTGTAAACAAAGAGTTCAATATGCATCTCTTATGCTCCGTGTGGTTTATGTACATGGTAACAAGTTTCACTCTTGCGAGTGATGTGGTGTAGTCACCCGAAAAATCTCCTCGTAGCTCTTCAACTTACCTTCAAGATTGAAAAACCGTAATGTCTGCAACAACTGCAGCTGCAAATTTCCACACAACTCCATTACATCCTCGATATACTCATCAATAAATGGCAAAAGCCACACAACCCGACCCAAATCATCCGACTTTACAGCAGCATCCAACATAATCGACAACAACTCGGCATCAAACACTTTACCCTCAACCAACACATCCTCGACATAGTTCAACTCAATCAGATCCTTGTCGCGCGAATGTAGGACAATTTTGTTGAATAGCAAGTCGAGGTACTCGTACAATTGCAAGTCGATCGTCATTTGCATAATTTGGTACATGCATTTACGCGATATTGTCAATAATCTGGTATCAAGGTCGAGTCCACCGGGGATGTATTTCGGCAACTTGTATTTCGATTTGGATAACATGGGCGATTTGATGACTTGCATCTCCTGTGCTATTTTGTCCAAGGTTAACAACGACAACAACTCTAAAAACATTCGTTCATCTTTTCGTAAAACTTGATATTTGAGTAAAGATATGAGGATATCGGGATGCTTTTCTACTAAATGGACAAAATGATCCGCCATTAATGGGGCGAATATGGAGTTTGCTGCATTTGGTGGTGGATCTGCAAGAACGGTTGGTTGGTGTTTATATTGGAACAAGGACAAGTAGATAACTTGTTGGTAGTTTAGTAAATTGCAATCACCAAATTTATCAAGGAGATACATCCATAGCTTTATTGTGGGTGTGTGGTTGTGAGATGATAGTAGAATTCTAATGATTTGTACAGCTAGTCGAATGTGAGGTACATCTTTATCAGATGATGGATGGGATAGCATGTACTGATCGAATACAGCATCTAGCGATTGTATTATTTCCGAATCATTGCACTGGCTCAGCTTGAATGTGGGCTGATGTAAACCTAGATGCAATCCAGCATCCTTTTGCGATGCACTTAACCATTGTGACGACTTGTACGAATGGAAATTCACTCTGTACAGCTCCAACGAGATAAAGTTGCTTGACACCTTGATATCATTTATAAACTGTTCAATATCGTGATCCACTTTGACATTTCTTAATTTCAACTCTATAGCCACACTTTCCAACAACATGTTGGCCACTAACATAATGGCATTTCTCATCTCAACATTGCTGTAGGTTAAATACCCTTGATTTCCAAGACTATGACACATGTCTTTATAATTAGTAATTTCACATTCCGCATCATTGGTAAACATTGCATCAACATTGGTGCCGTCTTGAAGGATCTCAATTATGTTTGATCGGTGCTGTTTGTATTGTTTTGATACCTCAATCGCATTTTCATACTCTTTGACTCGCCGCTCATTCCGTTTCAAAGCTTGTGCAAACTTCTTTTCCGAATTGTAATTGGCAACCAGTTCATGAATTCTGCTACTCTTGTAACGGCAAGGATTGCGTATCAGCGAGGTTGTTCGTATTCTGAATGGTCGTTTAATCATGAGTGTACTGCTCTATAACGCAATCAAATGTGTTTATCTAGAGGAGGTGGTTGTTATGTATAAGTTGCAGTTCGCTAGCGTAGATCACACTCTCATCCGTGTGTGGCCCTGTTGTGAAAATTTCAGCACTAAAACGAGAGAGCAGCAAAAAAAAAAAAATTAAAAAAAAAAGAGAAATGAAAATCCACAGAATTTTTCAATTCAGCAAAAACCTGACGGCAACCAGAATCCACTTTACGAGCACAATGAAATTCTTCAACATCATTGCAGTTCTCTCTGCTTCAATTGCATCAATTTCTGCTTATGAAACCACAGGGAAAGAAACAGTTGACATTTTAGTCGATTACAATATCAAAGAAACTCCAGAAGTTTCGAAAAATGACGTGGCCAGTTGGACAAATGGCGAACAAATCACCCTCCAATACACGCTCAACAACAACGAAGAGACAGATGTCACGGTCATTGGCGTCACTGGCCAATTCTTGAACCCAGTCACGAGACAAGTAGTCACCAATTTAACTCAAGGAAGAATCGAGCCAGTCGCCGTTGCTCCTGGCAAATCAGTCCGTTTTGAACAATCCATCAATGTCAATTTGGTTCCAAACAACTATGAATTGGTGCCCCAAGTGTTTATCGTGCAAGGTGATCTCGTAAAGCTCATTCCATGCCGTGGTCAATTGGCTTCTGTTCTCGACAAGGCTATCTCCTTCTTTGACCCAAGATTGATCTTTTTGGAAGTTGTGTTGTTGGCAACATTTGGTGGGTTGCTCTACTTGGCTTATCAAGTGTGGGGAAAGAGTTATGTTCAAGGAACTGCTCCAGTCAAGGTCAAAAAGAGTGTTAGATCTCCTTCACCTGTTGTTTCTTCCTCTGCTGGCTCTTCTACTGGTGCCGGATACGATGTCAATTGGATCCCAGAAGGTCATTTGAAACAAAAGAGAACCAAAAAGGTTGCATAACTGTAGGAAGTTGGTGAGAGAGAGAAAGTTTAATGTACGATTATATTCTTGTGTCAATCCTCAGCCGTGCAATGATGGACCATAGCACTGAACTGCATTGAAAATTGGTTTGGAGTAGCAGCATTTGAGTAACTAGCAGGATCACGCTTCTTTATGTACATCTCCTTCTCCTTCTCCTTCTCCTTCCCCGTCCCCCAACCTCTTTCTTATTACAGAATCTGCACGTGACTCTCTCAAAGGGTTACTTTTTCTTTTTTTTTTTTTTTTTTTCTCTCTCTCTGTCTCGTTTTTGGGTTTTCTTGTTTACATTGCAAACATATCTGCAACAACAATGCCGAAAGATAAACCAAGCCTTTCTTTACAGAAGCATACATACGCCGTCGTAAACATCCACAACTAGTCGACACCAGCAATGCGATTATATCTCAACGACAAACCGAGAACGTTTGTTCTAACAACATCAACACATGCATTGATCATCAAACACCCAAACCCTACATATGAGCACCGAGGTATCAGAAGTCGAATACTCGGTCATAAGCGTCATCATAGCGAGAAGGACGATAGTAAAGTTTTGGTGGAGTTTGTAATAAAAGATTACATCAATCTCAGCTCGTACCGCGATGTGACTCCGAAACGAAATAAACTTTTGGGATTTATTGGCCTACTTCCTTTAAAGGGGAAAGTGTTTTTGGGATTCATTACTCAGCATGAACATGTGGCTTCACCAACTTTGGATGACAAGGTTTATAGAATTACGGGGACTGAGTTTTTCTGTTTGGATTCAGATGAGTACGACTACATTTTTGATCGAGAGTATGATGAATTGAGATATCAGGATAATGAAAAAGTCAAGTATCCAGGTTCTTCTGTTAGGAAACTTCTATCTAGTGGAGCGTTTTTTTACTCGAGACAATTTGACATCACCTCAACTATTCAGGAACGTGGCATTGGAACGTCTGACTTCAGATTGATTGCAGACACTTCATACTTTAGGCGGTTTCTGTGGAACATGTTTATGATGGAAGAGTTACTCGAGTTTAGAAATAGGTTGACCTTGTCAGAACAGAGACTAATTGATGAAACTGGGTTCCTTATTGTTATTGCTCGAGGATATGCCAAAACCATCAACACGGAAGTTGCTGGCCAAGACGCTTTATTGACCTTGATATCTAAGCAAAGTAGTGCAAAAGAGGGTCCCATTTTTGGAGATTGGGGATGTGATGGCAATGGATGTGTTGCCAACTACCTTGAGTCAGAAGTCATTCTTTATACTGAACATTTTTGTCTATCGTATGTGATTGCACGAGGAAACGTTCCAATGTATTGGGAGCTCGAAAACAAGGTTTCAACAAAGAACATAATTGGTGCCAGCAATAAGAAAATACTTTTCCCTCGGTCATTTGAGGCATCACAGGAAGCATTCACAAGACATATAGATCGACTTGCAGCTCAATATGGTGATGTACATTTGATCAATGAGCTTTCCGACAAGTCGTACAAGGGAGTCTTGAATGCGTCCTTTGAAGAACAGGTAAAGTATTTTTTGGCAAACAGGGATCCTGCTACATCTGACTATAAATTCCAGTATACTTATTTGCCAATACCATCAGCTAGAATTAAAAAAGTGGGGTATACTTCTCAAAACCCGTCTGAGATAGTGTCGAAAATATCAAGCTCCGCAAGAGAATTTGGAGCTTTGTTTTACGATGACGCTACAATCAGCTTTGTGGGTAAACAATTGGGTGTATTCAGAATCAATTCTTTTGATAGCTTGAGCAAGGCAAACTTTTTATCAAAAGTAATCAGCCAAGAGGTTATTGAGCTAGCCTTTGGCGAAATTGGAGTACAATTGGATAGAGACTTGTTTGCGTCGCACGCCAAGCTTTGGAAAGAAAATGACATTATAATTACCCAGTTGACCCTCAATTTTGTTTCGTATAGCGACAAGTTGCACACTAGCAAGATGTCTAATGCATCTTCTGTGAAGTCACACATTACAAAGAAATATTTGAGTGGAGTTGTGGATAATGCTAAATCGAATGAATTGGTGTTACTCAAGTTATTGGGGAGGCTACAAGACCAATCGCCGATTCCATTGTACAATCCACTACATGACTATATCGATAAGGAGTTGGCAAAGCGTAGCAAGGAGTTTACGTCAGAACTGGATGTGTCTGTATTTGCATCAACGTTTAATGTCAATGGGACCTTCTACGAAGGTGACATTAAGGAGTGGATTCTTCCACATGGTAAATCGCACGACTTGGTGTTTATTGGTTTACAAGAAATTATTGAGTTGAAGCCAAACCAAATGATGGCACAAGATTTCAAAAACAAGACTCTTTGGGAGCGTAAGATACTAAACTGTTTGGCCCAAGAAGACAAATATGTTGTGATGTGGAGCGGGCAGCTAGGGGGGCTTTTGTTGCTTCTTTTTGTCAGAGAATCTCAGGTTAAGCATATCTCCAATATTGAAATTTCGTTCAAAAAGACGGGTCTTGGTGGTATGGCGGCAAACAAAGGTGGGATTGCTGTTAGTTTCAAGTATTCTGACACAACCATGTGTTTTGTATCTTCTCATTTAGCCGCAGGACTTAGCAACACCGAAGAGAGACACAATAACTACAAGGCTTTGATTAAGGGGATAAAGTTTTCAAAAAACAGAAGAATTCCCAACCATGATGTGGTAGTATGGCTCGGTGATTTCAATTTCAGAATCGAGTTGTCCAATGAAGAAGTCAAGTCAATGATACATCAAAAGCAATACGGAAAACTTTACGAAAGAGATCAATTGAATAAGCAAATGGCAAGCGGTGAAACGTTTCCATTTTTTGCCGAACAAGAGATTCGTTTCCCACCTACATACAAGTTTGATAACGGTACCAGAAAATACGATTCAAGTGAGAAACAAAGAGTGCCGGCCTGGACTGACCGGATATTATACATGTCGCGAAAGAACCTCATCAAGCCCATGGACTATGAGTGCATTGACAACATTGTATTTTCTGATCACAGAGCTGTGTATGCAATTTTCCAAATCACAGTCAAAATTATCAACCATGCTATTAAAAAGAAATTATCTAGTGAGCTATATGAAGCGTATAATCTAAGGGATGGCGAACTTCAGGATTTGTCAGCATTGACTTATGATCTCGACAAAAAAACCACCGATTATGAAAATGAAAAGTTACCGCCACCAAGCTCGGACAAACAAAAGTGGTGGCTCGATGGAGGCAAACCGGCTAAAGTAAACATCCCTCGTTTGTCAGAACCAGGAAATGACTTGGTTGCCAACCCTTGGCATCCAATAAATCCATTTGTCTCCACCACCGAGCCTGAATTTGTTTCGAAAAAGGAGTTGGAAAGTATGTTGAAATAAATAGAAATATAATAGATTAGTTTTGCTCTTGCAGTGATTTCGTTCCACCAGTTTGCTCTGTCGAATGTAAAGGCTCTTGTTGCAGGTGGCTTTCTGAGCGAGCGATGTCACCCTGCTTTTCATCCTCTGTTGAGTTGATATTTTCTGCATCCTTCAAAATCGAATCTAGCTTTGCCTCGAATGAATCTAGCATCAGCTCCAACTTTGATGCTTGTTTCTCTGCCTCATTAATTTGCTGATAGGTGCTAGCTATGTCCACCGATGGTTCTTGCGTCATGCTAATCTTAGTAAAAGGAGTATGTGCTGTTGTTGTTGTTGTTGTTGTTGTTGATTTTTGAATCGACGCGAAAGATTTCTACACAAAATGTTTTGAATTCATACAAACATAGATTACACTACTTAAATATCTTTATTCCTTCTTAAGCCATTGAGAATCGAAATCAATGAGAGGAAGGATGCTTGCGATACATCTGTGTTGATACCGACACCCCATCTAGTGATGTTCTTGTTCACCACAACCTCGATATACGTGGCGGCTCTGGCATTGGAATCTTCTCCCAAGGAATGCTCATGATAGTGCTTAACATCAATGTCAATACCAAACTGCTTGGCCAACGCGTCGTTGAAAGCAGACAATTGACCGTTACCTTGACCCTTCACAGTAACTGCCTTTCCGTCAATTTCGATCTGCGCCTCAATTTCCTTCACGCCCTTGCCCGGTGTCTTTATCGAATAATCAACCAATTTATAGTGTTCATCAGCAACCTCTTTATTGTCTTCATCGTATTCAATAAAGTATTCTTGCTTGAACAAGTCACACAATTCTTGATTGGTGAGTTCTTGACCTTTAACTTCAGCTCGTTGCTGTACCACTTTTGAAAATGCAACCTGTAACCCTCTTGGCAAGTCCAACTCCAAATTGCGCAAAATAACCCAAGCTGAACCACCCTTGCCTGATTGGGAGTTGACACGAATAATAGCTTCGTAAGTACGACCAATGTCCTCCGGATCCAATGGTAAATATGGCAATTGCCAATGCACGTTTTTCCCACCAGCAGCCTTGAGTTTTTCGTTGTGAGCAGCAAACCCCTTTTTGATTGCATCTTGATGCGAGCCACTGAATGCACACACCACCAATGAGCCTCCATATGGGGTTCTGGCATGCACTGGAATCTTGTTACACTTTTCCACTATATTGATCACCGAGGTGATGTCCGAAAAGTCCAAGTGTGGAGATACCCCTTGCGTGTACAAGTTCAAAGCCAAGGTGACCAAATCAACATTTCCTGTACGTTCACCGTTACCAAAAAGACATCCTTCGACACGGTCAGCTCCAGCCAATTGACCCAACTCAGCAGCAGCCACACTACAGCCACGATCATTGTGCGGGTGTAATGAAATACAAACGGTATCACGATTAGAGATGTGTGTGGCAAAGTACTCAATTTGATCTGCATAAACATTTGGTGTGGACATTTCCACCGTTGCTGGTAAATTGAAAATGATTGGTTTCTCCCTGCTGGGGCCCCATGCCTCTTTAACTGCTTCACATACTTCGACAGCATAATCTAAATCAGTATCTGAAAAAGTTTCTGGCGAAAATTCAAAGTCCCAATCAGTGCCAGCAGTTGATGGATCGTCTTTTGTTAATTTTCGAACTAGTTTGGCACACTTTACTGCCAATTCCTTACTTTCTTGCTTGTTCAAACCGAAAACCACGTTTCTAAAACAGTCAGATGTAGCCAAATATATGTGGATCGTAGCGCGTTTGGCTCCTTTAAGAGATTCAACTGTTCTCTTGATCAACTCCTCACGACAAGGAGAAAGAACTTGAATCGACACATCTGCAGGTGCAGTCTCAACCGCAAACCTAGTAAAGTCAAAATCAATTTGAGAAGCCAGCGGGAAAGCCACTTCAATCTCCTTGAAGCCAATATCGACCAATTTTTTGAAATATTCCTTCTTTTCGTCAATAGACATCGGATCTGGAAGTGATTGATTACCGTCTCTCAAGTCCGTCGAAAGCCATCTTGGTGCTTTGTCCAAAGTTTTGTTTGGCCATTGGCGATTTGGTAAATTTACTGGCGGGAATTTTTTGTACTTAACTGATGGGTCTTTTAACATCGGCATCTTGAGTTGTCGTCAAAGCAGTAAAGGAAGAAAGTATATTGGTTGCCGGAGTCGTTGCAGTATTTATATTGCTTTGCCCGTGATGACTGAGTCACCTTTTTTTTTATTTCTTTTTATTTTTCAGAAAAGCAGGTGATGATATTGGGGAGGCTATTGTTAGTCATTAGCACCTACCTCCACAAAATCCATCTCTGTTTGTGGCCACTTATTCTTTTTCTTTTTAATTATTTTTTTTTTGTTTCTCTGCTTTGTTTTCTTGCACTCCGGTACAGGGCCTGTAGTTATTAAAGAACCGAAATGACCCCAAAATGTGGTGTCTATTTATAGCGTCCTCAGTAGATCACGGTTAACGGCGGTAATTGCATGTGCAGATTATGGTGAAAACTGTGGGAAGTGGGAAGTTAAAAGCGGGTTAGCTGCTTACGTGGAAGCTGTTTCTGCAGACATCAGCAGCTTTCTCTACCTATGAACGTTGCGTCATCTCCTACAGCAAACTTTATACTTTTCCTTTTTTTTTTTTTACAGCTACTGCATTCGCCATCTACTCATTAGTTTTATCATTTGCTTTTGTAGTAAGCAACCCGTCACGTGCAAAGGTTCTCCTTTTCTTTTGCGCAAACAAAAGAGGTGAAAATTTTTTTGCAAGTTGAGTTCTTCTTCTTCTCTACACAGCAAAACCATCCCAAAAAAAAAAAAGAAAAAAAGACAACTGTATGTATTGCCTTCTGCTTCGATTGAGTTTTAAATGATTAGAATTATACATGCGTTATCGTCATGATTACGACCACTTAACAATGTCTTCGGGCGTAATTTGAAATCAACTAACACCTACATGAAAAATTCTCAATTGATGAAATATTTTGAGTCAATACTAACTGTTTAAAAGGATAAGCTCAATTTATATTCTAATCTACGGGATATACTATTATAACAAAACTATAAAAAAATCAATAACTTTATATCAGTGATCCATTTGTCACTGATTGCAACAAAAAACAATGAAAACACTCTAAAATCTAAACAAAGTATAGCAACATTCCGATAACTGCCACAAGGGTTGCGGTATTTGATACACCTGATCCTTCAAATGTGGAAATTGCTGGTACTGCGGTTGAATTGTAAACCAAAGACACTGATTGGGAAAGGGTGGTAACACTGACTGGTGTTGCAAACCTTGGTGTAGCGCTCTCTTCTGGTCCACTTGCAGAACTTGATTCAGTTGTAGCTGAGGAAACTTCCACCCCACTTTCTGGTGACGATCCTTGAGCACGAGATGTGGTTTGTATTGTTGAAGTAAATGTAGTTGTGACGCCACCATCGTCTGAGTTGTATGAGACAATGGTGGTGACGAATGGTTCACTTGAAGTTTCCACCTTACTTGAACTAGCTGCACTTTTCGACACTGGAGTGGTAGATCCAACAACAAGCTGTGTAGATGAAGCTGGAATAGTAGTAGTGACCTTCAGACTTGCAGTTTGTGGAGTAGATTCAGCGTCAGTGGTTGGTACAACTTCTTGTGCTGTAGTCTCGGCATCGGAAGGTGATACTTGTGAAGTTGTTTCAACACTGATGGTAGGCACAACTTCTTGTGCTGTAGTCTCGGCATCGGAAGGTGATACTTGTGAAGTTGTTTCAACACTGATGGTAGGCACAACTTCTTGTGATGTAGTCTCGGCATCAGTGGTAGACAGGGTTACTTGACTACTTGATGAAGTGCTTTGTTGCTCACTTTGAATCTCAGCTGACGACTCCAGCTGGGAACTAGGTACAGCAGCCAAGGAAGTTGAGCATTTGCTTCCACTGCATAAAACTGTCTCGACCTCTTGTACTGGAGATGTAGTGGACTCAAGTACTGAATATGGTGGTATAGGCAATGATGTCGAGTACAAAGTGCTAGGCTCAGGTGGTGACATTGATGTTGAGAATGAAACAATTTTAGGCTTAGATGAAGCTGATGACTCCTCACTTGCTGCACTTTCAATGGACGATGTCAATGGACAATATGTTGTGTAAACTGTTGTATCCTCCGTAACGGTAGTGAGTCCAGTAGTTTGCGTAACTTTGCTACAACTGTTGTCTTTACACGATGTAACAGTGATGATAGTTGTATGGATCTCGCTTGTGGTGGAATAAACCGGGGTTGAAGATGACTCAGTTGATGTAGANCAGTAGTGAGTCCAGTAGTTTGCGTAACTTTGCTACAACTGTTGTCTTTACACGACGTAATAGTGATGATAGTTGTATGGATTTCACTTGTGGTGGAATAAACCGGGGTTGAAGATGACTCAGCTGATGTAGAAGCCACAGAAGCAATACTTGTGTAAGTGGAGGAGCTTGATTCAATAGTGGATGAGCTTGATTCAATAGTGGATGAGCTTGATTCAATAGTGGAGCTTGATTCAATAGTGGATGAGCTTGATTCAATAGTGGAGCTTGATTCAGTGGTGGAGCTTGATTCAGTGGTGGAGCTTGATTCAATAGTGGAGCTTGATTCAATAGTGGACGAGCTTGATTCAATAGTGGACGAGCTTGATTCAATAGTGGATGAGCTTGATTCAGTGGATGAGCTTGTTTCAACAATGGAAGAACTTGACTCAGTGGTGGAGCTTGATTCAATAGTGGATGAGCTTGATTCAGTGGAAGAACTTGATTCAAATGAAGGGAAGCCCGAATCAACACTAAAGGAGCTTGCCTCGGCAGCTAAAGAGGTCGAAGACTCAAACTCACTGGTCAATGGGCAATATGTTGTGTAAACTGTTGTATCCTCCGTAACAGTAGTGAGTCCAGTGGTTTGCGTAACTTTGCTACAACTGTTGTCTTTACACGATGTAACAGTGACGATAGTTGTATGGATTTCACTTATGGTGGAATAAACCGGGGTTGAAGATGACTCAGTTGATGTAGAAGCCACAGAAGCAATACTTGTGTAAGTGGAGGAGCTTGATTCAGTGGATGAGCTTGATTCAATAGTGGAGGAGCTTGATTCAATGGAAGAACTTGATTCAACAATGGAAGAACTTGATTCAACAATGGAAGAACTTGATTCAATAGTGGAGCTTGATTCAATAGTGGAGCTTGATTCAATAGTGGATGAGCTTGATTCAGTGGAAGAACTTGATTCAATAGCGGATGTACTTGATTCAATATTTGCAGAGCTTGCTTCAGCTGCTAAGGAAGTTGATGACTCTAATTCGATGGCAGAAGATGAACACCCATATATTGTAGTACCTGTAATCAATGTTGATAAAACAACTGTACGAGAAGCTTCGGAACAGATGTCATTTGAACAAGTACTAAGGGTGACTACTGTTGTTTCAATACTAGTGGCTGTTGAAAGCGGTAGCATCAAAGTTGAGCCAACCGGTGGTGGAATCGAAGTCAGACACTCGGGGGACGAAAGTTCGCTTGTCAAAGGGGATTTTGTGGTTCTGCCACTTTCAGACACAAGATTGTACTCATTTGTTGAGTAATTTTGAGTGGTGCTTTCAAATGTGGATTCGACAATCGACTCAGAACTAGGATTTGCAAGGGAGATACTATAATCCTCGCTGGAGGAGTACGTGCTTGAGTCCTCTTTCGTTATGATGACATCTGAACT